CGGCGATGATGATGATGATGCTGATGGTGATGGTGATGATATGCTGATATCCTTGCATTTTACAGTGGTGATAAATATTATCTGTGATTGCAAACTTTAACATTTGAAAAATGAAAACACATTAGGTTGATCATATGATCAAGGCCGCTGGCGTTGCCTAGTGGTAAAAGCGTTCGCTCCTCGTGCCGAAAGTCCAGGTTCGATTCTCTGCATATCATAGGCACAATGTGGGAATCGCCCACCGTGATATTGCTGTGATATTGCTAAGGCGGCGTAAAATCCGACTCACTTAAACTCTCAAAAATCACTGTGCCATTGCTAACCATGGTTCTGCAGATGGCACCGGAGTATGTCAAGATTCAACTCTCGGTTGGTCTTCTTCCATTATATCTCACTAGTTGGCGCTACTGGCTTCGCTAGGTCGTTCATTCATCCACAGGGCTGTGTACATGAATGGCGGCACTTTCTTAAAGCGGTTGTCAAGTAGGAGTTTATGTCATGGGAAGTTCACCTCAACCAATTCCAGCAGTCCTGCTTTTATCTGATCCATTGACCTAAGTTTGTGGCTCTGTGACAACACGTACAAAAGAAAGTCTTTGTACAGGAGATGCAATGGGCTATTCATGGCATATCACAGGCTTTTACGGATTGTGAACCGGCCTCGCGATATCTAATCCGCTGTCCTCGCATAGAAATTAACATATCTTCAAGATCTGTCTGAATGAATGGCGTAACAACATTCAAGAAGTACGTTAACAGTTAAGTGAAATATTAGAATGATTCCACCACAGAAGCCAAATCTTAAAGTTGTTTGATTCTTCGGTAGCATTTTCAATAAATGTTGTTCACGAAAGGTTCCTGAATACATTAATCGAGATTACGCAATCCGCATGGATGACCTATTCCTGCATAGATATATCTAGATCGGTGACGCTAAGCCGGTGACCCATGCCAGTGAAACACTCACTCACTCACTCACTCACTCACTCACTCACTCACTCACTCACTCACTCACTCACTCACTCACTCACTCACTCACTCACTCACTCACTCACTCACTCACTCACTCTATCAATCTATCAATCAAACAATCAATCAAAATGGAAATCGAGTGACGGATGCTTGACTCATTGTAAGTCTTTGTACGCCATTGTATCGTTGCTAGTGGTACCAGTTACCGGTTTGTCTTATATAAAGCATTGACGAAGCAAAGAGTTTAATCAGACGTCTCCTTGGGGGACACTGGTATCACACCTGTGATCCCTGGCGATAAGAAATATGACATTGCGTACCAGGCCAGCAGTTAGACGTATCAACGTATAATTGTAAATTCTCCTCAGCGTAATATATATCTTGCAGGTGTACGTAAACAGGATGTGTTTGGTAACTTGAGCAGGAAGCACAAGTGCACGAAGGGATGGTATTTCAGATGACAAATGAAAGAAGACAGAAAGTTTGTGACCCAAATTTAGTGACTGGTGGCCGTGTCGCACACACAAATTTTTATTAAATGTATCCTCGAGAGTCAGTAAGAAACTAGAAATAACTGCCTTTGTTCTGTAAATCTCACCAAGTTTCAGATTTCGCCTCTTCCTTTGTGGAATGAGGTTTCACATTTGTAAAATGATCTCTGTTATCTGTCTGTACCATCAACTTAACTGCCCTCACCCCCTGCAGTTTTCCCGTCCCATTTTGCCAAGCAGGTGACCCACAAGAAGGAATACGGCCCTCCCTCAGTCCAGACTCATGAGTTATACTGTGCCTACCACAATAAGTTGTGAATACGTAGCCTTGCTGTGGCCAAAATTTTTTGTAACAATTTGGCAAATTTTGATATGTAAACAGCACATATAATTCAGTTTTATTTCATCTTAACATATCAGTTGAATCCCACTTGACCTTTGAAGATCCGGTTAAGAATAGATTTACAGCAACCCATGCTTGCCGTTATAGGCGACTATGCTTGTCGTAACAGGCGACTAAAGGGATCGGGTGGTCAGGCTCGCTGACTTGGTTGATGCATGTCATCGTATCTCAATTGCGTGGATCGGTGGTCGTGATATCAATCACTGGATTGTCTGGTCCAGACTCGATTATTTACAGACAACCGTCATATAACTGGAATATTGCTACGTGCGGCGTTACACAAAGAACAACAAAAACGGAAAAACGGATCCTACTTATTTTGTGGATACCATAACAATAAATCAAACCAATAGATCGTTTGAGCTAGCTAAATATAAAAAAATAGTCGATAGTCCTATTTCCCTCTGTTGGTCCCACGTGAAATATTCTTCATGAATACTGTAAATCATGAAATTAACGCAATAATAAGTCAGCACATTAATGCGAGTATAGAAGAACCCTGGCCTCAAATGCGTCATGACATTTATGAGAGTAGCCTTGCAAAAATCACTGTAGTCATAAAAACGATTTTTACATATATAAATACATACAGAGGAAATGCTTAGCATTAATCTTTTAAGGAAGAATGTGGGACTTGCTTAATACATATGTATGTGGACATATATGTATGTACATTTGGATGAATATAGATATACCTCCTTATAGATAGTGATCGTAGATGATTGTAGAATGTGCACGAAGAAAATGGAATAATTATGTGAGTAATCGGGTAAATACCACGTTTAGCAATATTCAGCCATATTGCAATATTGGTTTCCAACATACAAGACGGACCATGAAATTATGACTTGAATTTGGACCTGGCTTTCTGGTGTGATGTAACACCCCACAATCTCCAGTAGAAAAAGAGCTTAAAGCACAAATAAAGATCACGAGATGTTACTGATGTATACATCTTGACATATATTTGCGTAGTATTACTATGTTTATTCATCAGCATATATGTATTTTGCATAAAAGGATATTGTAGGATCGACGCTGACAGGCGCAAACCACCCCTAAAGCCCCCCCCCCCCCCCCCGGGTTGCACAAACTCACTTTTCCCCTTTTGGGAAACACATTAAATGGCCTGGCCGGGCCCGTGTGCGACATACGCTTGCAGCCAGAAAGCGCACGTTAAATCTCAAATATAAGTAAGTAAGTAAGTGTCTTTTTGAGTCAAGTGCGGGTCTCTCTCTCACCTTAGGGAGAATGCGACTGTAAAAGCCCCTCACTAGACAGACAAGTAGTGAATGTTTGAGATAAATTTATTATTTATTATATATAGTTTAAACTCAATAAATAATTCATAGTCTTTTTATGGTTCAAATTACTGATAAAACATATTTTATCTTGTTCCTTCTAACCATATTTCCAAACAATTCCAAACCATTCCAAACCATTCCAAGTCATTCCAAACATTTCCTGTGTTGGAAATATGTTTGGAAATGTTGCCATTCCAATTTTGGATTTTCTGGTAAGATCGATCCTTCCAAGCTTTGGAAAGTTTGGAATGAGCGATCTTTCCAAAGCATTCCAACGTTCATTCCAAATTGGAATGGACGCTATTTGGTCTTGTGTTCCTCCTCTCAGGTAAGACGTTAACCTCTCTGCCTCCTCTCAGGTAAGATGTCAACCTCTCTGCCTCCTCTCAGGTAAGATGTAACCCTCTCTGCCGCCTCTCAGGTAAGATGTCAACCTTTCTGCCTCCTCTCAGGTAAGATGTAACCCTCTCTGCTGCCTCTCAGGTAAGATGTAACCCTCTCTGCCTCCTCTCAGGTAAGATGTCAACCTTTCTGCCTCCTCTCAGGTAAGATGTCAACCTTTCTGCCTCCTCTCAGGTAAGATGTAACCCTCTCTGCCTCCTCTCAGGTAAGATGTAACCCTCTCTGCCGCCTCTCAGGTAAGATGTCAACCTTTCTGCCTCCTCTCAGGTAAGATGTAACCCTCTCTGCCTCCTCTCAGGTAAGACATCAACCTCTCTGCCTCCTCTCAGGTAAGATGTAACCCTCTCTGCCTCCTCTCAGGTAAGACATCAACCTCACTGCCTCCTCTCAGGTGAGACGTGAACCTCGCTGCCTCCCCTCAGGTAAGACGTCAACCTCGCTGTCTTATTGAAATGGGTTAACCATTTTTTCCCCTTTTTTGTGTAGGATAAAGCACGTTCAAAGGTTTTTATGTTATTTAAAACCCACATCTCCGGGATAAAACCGATGGATGATAGCTCCAAGGTATTATTCCAAGGATAAGATCGAGGGGAAGTGTTTCATCTAGCTAAAAGTATTTTGATACCGCGTGTCTGTAACCTAGTGGTACACTCACTGGGCCACAGATACGAAGGTTACGTGTTCGATCCTCGGGACTATAAACAAAACATTTGTCTTTTGATTCTACATGTCATTATTTTGTGTTCAAATGCAAAATTAGTTGCATGCATTAATGTTACTATCTAAACGAAGCTGTGTTAATAAAATCCCCAGGATATTACATAAAGTCCTGGGGACAACACTGTGTATGAGGGGGCGGTCATAAATGTCACGCCGAGGGCCCATGTTCGATTCCTGACATGGGTACAAATGTGTGAAGTGAAGCCCATTTCTGGTGATATTGCTGGAATATTGCTAAAAGCGGCGTAAAACCAAACTGACTCACTCACTCACTGTTTATGAGATTCAACCCGACTGGAGAACAATAGGATGACGTCACTGGATGTTTATTTATTATTGTTGAAGAGGTATTAATGCAAAATCCTGTCTGATCACTTTGCATATATATTCGTATTGAAATTTGATATGCAGTAAGTATGTAGTATTCAGAATAACATGGCTGTTGGCATATTTGATGTCTGGATCCAATTACGACCTTTCACCTTTACTAACCCTGTTGATCTTGCGTTGCTGCCGTTGTGACATCTTTGAAACCTCTGAGTTTATGAAGTGAACCCTTTGTGTAAATGATCCCAGTTAAGATTTAAATGACCTGTTTAAGAGTGCCAGCAGGTCATTGCATTGTTGGATGTGGTATGAATGCCTGTGAAAGGTTTGCGGGTATGTGCTCAACGGGTCCTAACTGTGACTCCTGATTCTCCCTTGCAGCACCTGCCGGCAGCGAAGAAAGCCATTGAGCAGTCTGGGATGAATGTCAACCCCACACAAGATGGAACCACCCTCATTGTCCCCCTACCAAAGTAAGTGGTCTAGTGGATAGAGCGTCTGCCCAGAGAGCTGAAGGTCTGGGGTTTGATCCCAGCCACATCATACCAAAAGATGTTAGATGGTTCTTGTTGGCGCTTGGCATTAAGAGGCATTAAGTGGCTAAAACGGACTGGTCGGCTTGGAGTCAGTATACTGTGTCTGCATGGGGTATCCATGTTAAACTGTAGCATGGTATCTCAGTGAGGCTAGCATTAGGAAAGTCCAGACGAAATACGGCCAGCCACACAAACATGTGCATGTGCATCGCTATAAGTGCAATAATATTGAAGGCAACATTAAACCCAACCCATTATACGACGACAGCCTGTAAATAATCAAATCTGGACCCGACAATCCAGTGATTAATATTATGAGCCACAATCCACACCGTCAGGGTACATTAACATGATTAACAAGCGAATCAGCGAGTCGACCACACGATCAACTAGGTTGCCTTTTACGAGCAAATATTCCTGGGGAACAATTGTTACCTGGAACCCTCAGTCGGTTAAGAAGGGTTCCATCCTCTATCAGCTTTAGTCCAGCAAGGGGCAGTGTGGTAGCCTAGTGGTTTAAGCATTTGCTGGTCACGGTGAAGGCTAGGTTTAATTCCCATTTCTGGTGTCCCTAGCCATGATATTGCTGAAATATTGCTAAAGGCAGCGTGAAACCATACTCGCTCACTAGCAATCTCTGGGGGGTGGTAGCCCAGTGGGTAATGCATTCGTCTGTCACATCAAACACCTGGGTTTCAACCCTACATGAACCAATGCCCTATAAGCCATGCATGACTGTAGGTAATTATGAATGTACCAGTAATTATTGCCAAAATGTTTGTTGTTTTAGTGGAAAACAAAAACAATTGCTTGGTTAGCCAATCAAATGCCACTAAATGCAGTTTACATATTTTCTTGAAAATGAAAAGAGAATGAACTTTTGAAAATTTGCAAAGTAATATGTCACATTTGTCTTGTCCTGTCAGGGTGACAACTGAACATCGTGAAAGTTTGGCGAAGAATGCGAAGACGTTGTGCAACAAGTTGAAGGACAGATTACGAGACATCCATGCTAAGCATACAAAGAAGGTCAAGGCAAATAAGGAAGGTCACCCTGAGGATCTTATACGAGATGTGCAGGACCTGGTGAGTGATGACATTACCATCAACAAGGAGAGGATGGTTGATGTCAATAGGGGGTGGGGATGTTATGTTGGTGTGGGGATGTTATGTTTATGTGGGGATGTTATGTTGGTGTGGGGATGTTATGTTTATGTGGGGGTGTTGGTGTGGGGATGTTATGCTTATGTGTAGGTGTTGGTTTGGAGATGTTATGTTTATGTGGGGGTGTTGGTGTGGGGATGTTATGTTTATGTGGAGGTGTTGGTGTGGGGATGTTATGCTTATGTGGGGGTGTTGGTGTGGGGATGTTTTGCTTATGTGTAGGTGTTGGTTTGGAGATGTTTTGTTTATGTGTGGGTGTTGGTGTGGGGATGTTATGTTTATGTGGGGGTGTTGGTGTGGGGATGTTATGCTTATATGGGGGTGTTGGGGTAGGGATGTTATGCTTATATGGGGGTGTTGGAGTAGGAATGTTTCGTTTTTGTGGGGGTGTTGGTGTGGGGATGTTTTGTTGGTGTGGGGGTGTTGGTGTGGGGATGTTATGCTTATATGGGGGTGTTGGGGTAGGGATGTTATGTTTATGTGGGGATGTTGGTGTTGGGATGTTATGTTTATGTGGGGATGTTATGTTTATGTGGGGGTGTTGGTGTGGGATGTTATGTTTATGTGGGGTGTCTGTGAGGGGATGTTATGTTAATGTGAGGGTGTTGGTGTGGGGATGTTATGTTTATGTGGGGGTGTTGGTGTGGGTATGTTATGTTGGTGTGGGGTGTTGGTGTTGGGCGTTTGTTTTTTTATGGGAATGTGGTGTTCACAAACAAAACGTCTTCAGACTTTGTTCATGATGGTATGCTTGCATGTGTTCCAGGTGTTGGAGACTATGAGGAAGTACAGTGGCCAGGCTGAGGATCTGCTGCAGGCCAAGCAGAAGGACCTGCTGGGAAAGTAAACACTTCATGAAAGTTTTGAGAACATTTGTTTCTAAGAGGCATTATTCCAAGCCAAGTATTATGGTGTGAATACAAACATTTTCCTTACAAGCTGCCTTCGCTGTGTGAATAATTGGTGAACAGTGTGAACACTTAACGAAACACTAAAAATTTAGTGAACGATTGGTGAACACAATTAAATCAGTGGATACTCAGTTAAATACCATGTGAAGACCCGTGAATGCTTGGTGATTACCCTTCAGAGGAGACCAACGAACCAGTGGAACTCAGTGTCCAGGTCACTTTCTCTCAATGGATCATGGGCGACGGCTGTCGGGACTCCTATACTTTAACATACACTTACGCCAGTGCCCAAGCCCACATTTGTAAAGTGTGTATATTAACATTGACAAGCATCTAGCTGAAGGCAGGATGAGTGAGTGAGTTGGGTTAACGCCGCTTTTAACATTATTCCAGTTATATCACGGCGTGTCAGCTTAATGTGGGAGGAAAGCCCGAAGTGATGCAGGTCTCAGACGTTTACCACTTCGGTGAAACCCACGAGCACGGGTATGGTGCTGACAAACCTAGAAACATAATCGGGTGAACAGGGATTCGAACCCACAACCATAGGTTTCTGGCGTGTCCAGGGGACGCAACTCTGCACAGCGAATCGTGGCACCTTTGACGACTGGGCCACCCGTGCCCGAAGGCGGGATGAGGTTATGATAATGTCACTGTGTGACTGGGACCTGTGACACGCCTGGTGCAGCTTGAGTGAGTAGGACATTAAGAGGTAAATCAATAAACACACGAGCTGGGACGATAAACCAAAAGTGCGATCAAATACATATCATGATAACTCGCTCAAGATCCAATACCTATCCCGAGACTCGCACGTCCAATCAAATGGATTAGCTTAGCTGAAGTGGTAGAAGGGAGGTAACTCTATACCAACTGCGTTGCTAATATTCGATTGTGCAGTTGAATGTGTTGGCCGGTGTCATTTCTGGCTCAGTGGATGAAAATATTCACGTTTTCACTTGTAATTAGTGTTTGTATAGTGTAACAATTATTAAAGTCAACATTTGAGGTTAGAATCTATAATTCTTTACTTATACTGTGACAGTGATCATACTTGTATCGGGAAGTCAATCGTGATCCACCAATGTACGAGTGTATCGTCCCATCACTAATAAACACCCTTGTACATTTTGGTGTATTTAATTGTGGTTGATCGAAGAATGTGTTCAAGGACAGGATGGCCAAGATCAGACTTGGATATTGTCTGTGTTGATCCGAGATCTCAATACAAATTTATCACCACATGGACAGACAGACTGCTACCACAACAAATCGTAAGAAATGATGAAATCACTGATATACAACTCAAAAATCCCTTTTACATACGTGTATTTATTATTTTTAAGACTTTTTTTCTACGCATCCCTTTACGGAAGGAAACGGGGTTGGTAGCCTAGTGGTTAAAGCGTTCGCTCGTCACCGAAGACCTGGTTTGATTCCTGACATGGGTACAATGTGCGAAACCCATTTCTGGTGTCCCCCGCGGAGATATTGCTGGAATATTGCTAAAAGCGGCATAAAACCATACTTCATCACTCACTCACTCACTCACTCACTCACTCACGGAAGGAAACTCCATCAGTTCCGGTTCTATCTCTAGCGTAATATTCCTGACTGCTAAGTAATCAACAAACGCTGGTATGGGCAGCAAGGGGGCCGAACCTTCAGCTCTCCCGCTAGCAGCCCTATCCACCAGGCCACAGAGATGGTCTGTTATATTTGTAATGTCAGACTAATGAGGAGCGTGTGGTCACTATGTGTGTACTGCTTGATGGTGTGTTATCCTGCGTTGTTCGTTGTTTATGCTGACAACCACTGGTTTGCCTTGCCCCCCTTCGATTATTTACAGGCCGTCGTGATAAGTCCTGAAGCAACATTCCCTCGCATTGTAGGGGTGTGACACATCCACACCCTCACACGCCCACATCACAATACACACTGCCAAGGGTCCGTGAAGATCGGGGTAGAATAGATCTTCAGCAACCCATGCTTGTCGTAAGAGACGACTAACGCATCAGGTGTTCCGGCTCGCTGACTTGGTTATTGCATGCCATCGTATCCCAATTGCGTGGATCGATTTCCATGATGTCAATCACTGTATTGTCTGGTCCAGGCTCGAATATTTACAGACCGCCGTCATATAGCTGGAATATTGCTGAGTGCGGCGTTAAACAACAAACAAAAAGAAGTGGTCTTCAGCAACCCATGCTTGTCAAAAGAGGCGTCTAACAGGATTTGGTTGATGCATGACATCCTATTGCAGTTGCGTAGGTCGATGCTCGTCGTGTCAGTCACTGAATTGTCTGGCCCAGACTCGATTTTTTACAGACCGCCGTCATATAGCCGACATATTGCCGAGTGCGGCGTTAAACACCAGCGGGAAGACGGATTAAAGAATATAATCCCCGAAGATTCGGTTTCTTACTCACAGCGTCGATAGATCATTTACACCGATAATGTCAATAACGGAAAGGCTCCAGTCAAGGTGGAAATGTTGGTCACATCCTAACCATATTCTACTGAATAAATGTAGTATTTCAGCTTTAGTTAACTCAGCCTACACTAACAGATAAGTTTCATGTCCGTATAGCTTTGCTTTCTATTTCCTTGAGAACAGACTTAATGAAACAGTACTTGATGATGAGGGAAGTTTAGATAAATATGATGAGAGACAGTTACACCCGTGAAGATATGGTTTAGAATAGGTCTTCAGCAACCCATGCTTGCCATAAAAGGTGACTATGCTTGTAACACACACTGCCCAGGCTCCGTGAAGATCGGGGTAGAATAGGTCTTCAGCAACCCATGCTTGTCGTAAGAGACGACTAACGGATCGGGCGGTCAGGCTCGCTGACTTGGTTGATGCATGTCATCGTGTCCCAATTGCGCATCTTCCCGAGGCAAGAGAGTAAACTGACTATTAAAGTCCAGTTTCCACTCTTGCCGAACTAGGCTGGTATTACGGAGTTATATTTTGGCTGGACTAACGAGTCTATGCATAGTCCAATCAAAATCGCGCAACGAAATCGAAATCCGTTTCGTAAAGTGTCGTGCAGATTTCGGTCGATTGCAGGATTTGCAATGTATGTACACCGCTAACTCGTTGTCAACAGATATTTTCCAAATCTTTTCAAGTTTCATGCTCACGTGATGTGATGCACTTCGCAATGTAAGACCCGTTTTATTACAATATAGGTGTTGATTATCGATCAGATCGTCTTGACAGGGCGCCGCCATTTTGTTTGAAACAAATGCAAGTGATACTAGAGGTGGAATCTGATTGGCCCATAGGATAGGCTAAGGGACATAACTCGTAATAACCCCTGGTGGCGCTACGATCGAGCTCAGGAATTTCAGCCTAGTTCGGCAAGGGTGGAAACTGGCCTTTTAAAGTCAGTTAACTCTCTTGCCTCGGGAAGATGCAATTGCGTGGATCGATGCTCATGATATCAATCACTGGAATGTCGGGTCCAGACTCGATTATCAACAGACTGCCGTCATATAGCTGGAATATTGCTGAGTGCGGCGTTTTAAAACAAACAAAGGCATAAATTAGGGACCTACCATTAAATACTGTGAGAGGTTGGGGTGAGTATTAAACGTTCGAATAAGTTTTTAGTCATTGCTACAAGACGTTTGTCTGAAAGGAGCCGATCTGTGTTTTGAGGACCTTCAACATTTTATCTGAACTATATGGTTTTGTAAAATCAGAGACGGAATTTTTTGTCCACTGATTTCTCGAACAAATTTATTTATTTTTAAATCCAATGTCCTGACCTTACGTCTAGACATCATCCGTCTGAGACCTGCACCACTTCGGGCTTTCCTCCCAGGACACGCCCTGATATAACTGAAATACTGTAAGAACGGCGTTAAATCCAAATCACTCACTCACTCACTCACTCACTCTATACAGCATTATATCAAATGGTACAAAACAAACTATATAAACTTATCAAAATCCAACCGCAAAATAGGCATCAGAATAATGTTAGATATGATTGGGTCATAGCAATAGGGTCCCCCCCCCCCCCCCCCCCCCCCCACACACACACACACATTGGGCTATTTACCGTTTATCCTGCGCTCTTTGGAGGGACAAGGGGTTGATTATGAAAGTGATAGTAGTAGTTTATCCAATTATCTCACCTTACATTAAACATCGACCCCAATTGCGTGGATCGATGCTCATGATATCAATCACTGGGTTGTCTGGTCCAGACTCCTTTATTTACAGACCGTCGTCATATAGCTGGAATATTGCTGAGTGCGGCGTAAAACAACAACCCAACCACCCCAACCCAACCTTACATTAAAATAGTAGCTTCTGAATGGTTAAGGAGCGGGCAAATATTTCCCATGTACCTCTCCCATGTACCCCGCTTAGAAATCGACCGGAACACACCTTAGGTATCTTGTTTATGTCTAAGAATAAGTATTCTTTGTGAGGAGGATCAGCAGCAGCACCAAAGGCCAACTGTATGACCTTTATCCGTCAAGCTTCCTCTATTCTCTCGACTGACGCCGACTGGATTAGTTGAACAGACAACCATGGCGGTTGCTTATTTCTTACAAAGTCCCAAACAGCAGTGCATTCCCCAGTACATGAACAGATTCATACTTTGGTAAAAACAGACAAATTGAGTTGATATCTTAGTGTCTAGATATTTACATCATCAAAACGTTCATCAATTAAATCTCAAAGGTATTCACTTCTCCATGTGGTAAGTTCATTTGTATCTGAGTAGATAAAGGTTATTTGATCTTTCCAACTCAGGGGGTTAAGTCTATTAGGACTGATCCATTATCACAACAGGTAAGCCTCGCATGTTTTATCACCCACATATCTCACCTTGCGGAGTAGGGGCGTGGCTCCATGGGTTAACTGGGCAAGGTGCCTTGTGTTACAGGACTCTAACGTTTTGAGAACATTAATAAAGCTGAAGACATTTGGATGATCAGAGTTCATTCTTTCTAAGTGATTATTGAACCAACATTGCCACAGTGACTCCGTGAGGATCCGGGTCTTCAGCAACATATGCTTGCCGTAAGAGGCGACTAACGGGATCGGGTGGTCAGGCTCCCTGACTTGGTTGATGCATGTCATCGATCCCAATTGCATGGATCGATGCTCACGATAACAATCACTGGATTGTCTGGTCCAGACTCGATTATTTACAGATCGCCGTCATAAAGCTGGAATATTGCTGAGTGCGGCGAAAAAGAACAAACCAACCACCTCAACCCAACCAACCTTACTTCTACACAGCAACATATACACCACCTTACTTCTATATAACAACATATGCACCATATCACCTTACTTCTATACAGCAACATATACACCACATCACCTTACTTCTACACAGCAACATATACACCACCTTACTTCTATACAACAACATATGCACCATATCACCTTACTTCTATATAACAACATATACACCACATCACCTTACTTCTACACAGCAACATATACACCACCTTACTTCTATACAACAACATATACACCATATCACCTTACTTCTATACAGCAACATATACACCATATTACTTCTATACAACAACATATACATTGCATCACCTTACTTCTATACAACAACATATACACCACCTTACTTCTATATAACAACATATGCACCATATCACCTTACTTCTATACAGCAACATATACACCATATCACCTTACTTCTACACAGCAACATATACACCACCTTACTTCTATACAACAACATATACATTGCATCACCTTACTTCTATACAACAACATATACACCACCTTACTTCTATATAACAACATATACATTGCATCACCTTACTTCTATACAACAACATATGCACCATATCACCTTACTTCTATATAACAACATATACACCACATCACCTTACTTCTACACAGCAACATATACACCACCTTACTTCTATACAACAACATATGCACCATATCACCTTACTTCTATACAGCAACATATACACCATATTACTTCTATACAAGAACATATACATTGCATCACCTTACTTCTATACAACAACATATACACCACCTTACTTCTATATAACAACATATGCACCATATCACCTTACTTCTATATAACAACATATACACCATATCACCTTACTTCTATATAACAACATATACATTGCATCACCTTACTTCTATACAACAACATATGCACCATATCACCTTACTTCTATATAACAACATATGCACCATATCACCTTACTTCTATATAACAACATATACATTGCATCACCTTACTTCTATACATCAACATATACACCACATCACCTTACTTCTATACAGCAACATATATACCATATCACCCTACTTCTATACAACAACATATACACCATATCACCTTACTTCTAATCTTATATATGGGGCGGTTGTGTAGCCTGGAGATTAAAGCGTTCGTTCGTTTCGCCGAAGGCTCAGGGTCGAGTCCATACATGGGTACAATGTGTGAAGCCCATTTCTGGTGTCCCTCGCCGTGATATTGCTGGAGTACTGCTAATATCGGCGTAAAACCATATTCACTCACTTGCTCACACTAAACATGTGACTGCGATACAGGAAATAATAACATTATCCCAAAACAGGATGTGTGTGAATATGTACTTCGTTCACATGTGTGAAGCCACGATGTAACGGTCTGGCCTTTTATATTCATGAAACATGATGAATGTTGTCACCAACGAACAATACATTAATGGACTATGCGAATGCTTCTAATCCATTTGGCACTCAGCGGCGGGCAGTTGTGAGAGCGCCCGATCAGATTACCGATCAACTCGCTAGCGTAATAGCGGAGAGGTCCGATAGCGTTATAGCGGGGAGGTCAACACGGAAGGATTTGTGTCGTCATACTTACCCGGATACTCGGAAAGTAGAACAGTTTGACTTTATCGACGTTGACGACGTCGTTCCGTTAGCAACAACTCTAGTTAGAGGTTACTGTCGTCAATGTCGTCCCCGGAGTTTGGCTCACTACCCCCGGAACAGCACGTGAAACCAGGACCGCCGGTGTCCGGACCATATGGCAGTACCAACTACGATCCGGAGGCGGGGACGGACGACGACAACGATGGACCTCCCCTCTCCTTCGCCGACCTGGGAATACCGACGGGGCCCCAAATAGAGACGACGGTTGCTGGGAAGGTGAGTGAGGGAAGCTGGTGCGACAATGTCGTTAAAGGAACTCTCCGAGCGCTGACACAAGATATATACGGACCTAGATTTATGGGAGAGACGGAAATATTCAACTGACATTCGCAATGCACTATCGGGTCGCATCGTTAAGTACACTATCGCGTTGCTTAGCCCACTATCTACAATCCATACACAGAGCAAGTATGTGTGGCCAGTTGAAGACAGTTGTCAGTCTTCATGTAGAAATTGAATATGAGTCTGCTAATACTGGACGGACAAAGATGTCCAAGCGTCCCCGTTATAGAACAGCTTATACGTACTACATATCTTTATCACTAGTGCCCTAATGAATTACAAAATATTATTAAGAGATATTTTAACATTTCTTGTCATTGGTGTTTTCAAATACATTTATAGTTGTTTTGAATCAATTTTCTGATGTGTATCTGCAGCATATATATGTAAGGAAAAGTGTCAGACCCTGCGATAAAGGGGTGCACGGTAAAAAGGGGGCTGGACACGCACGCACGCACACATTCCCTGGATCTGCCAGACAATGTTGGGTATCGTGTCACATCATACTCGATTCATGACATATGCTCCTGTCTTTTACTGTCCCACCTGTTATCAGTCTATGGTGACACAGCACAATACGGGTCGTCATGACTTTAAGTTCGCGTTGCGATTTCAAATGTCCTTGAAACAGATATGCACACGTCTCAACAAACAAAAGCATTATATAAAGGGAGTTATAAAAATGTAGGTATTCAGTATCGCAGTAGCACAAGCAGACACACTGCAACTTATACAAGTTGCCATGTTCATTCAACTGTGAACTAATGTCTAGCTCAGCCCTTCCGTAACTATCACGACCGGCATAGAATTAACAGTGAATCGCTGTATCTCAGACACTATTTGTGTCGCCAATACCTGAATAGCGCGGGGGTTGGATAACCTGGTAGATAAGGGAGTGGTTGTTGCGCCGGAGACCCTGGTTCCTTTCCAGACAATGTGTGAAGACCAATCTTGACCCCCTCCGAGATATGAAGGAAACAACGGCGTAAGACCACAGTCACTCATTGTCTCCAAACAGTCGTATGCCATGTGTGTCTCTCCCAGTGTCAGCCATCGGGTGCCGGCGTCCATATTGAATGTCCCAGTGTCAGACATCGGGTGCCGGCGTCCATATTGAATGTCCCATTGTATGTACGAGGAAGTTATCAAGGATAGATATGAATATGTATAAAATAAAAGTGTATATATATATTTTAATCTATACGAAAATCTTCAATCCATATTTATGTTGATTTTTAACGTCAATCTGCTGTTTTATTAACATCATTATTACTGTTGTCTTTGTGAAATTATGCTTTGTCTACAGTTGCGCAGAATGGTTACTTTTTTTAGATTTTGTTTCAATTTTGTGTGTTTTTCATTTCATTTCCATCCCCTGTGTCTGCGTCAAGGTCATACCGTTAGATCACGGTACGTTATGTTCTCTGACAAATTCCATGACACTTTTTGGGTTGAACAACTCATGACGTTTGGACTTTGACACTCATCTCTTGAGATGACGGACTGTGTTTCTTAACTTCACAAGCTTGTCGCACTGCCTAACCCGTGGACTTTAGTAGAGTTTGCATTGTTAAGAAAACTAGTTGGAGAACAATATTTATTTTCATAAATAAGTTTACTCATTATCATCGTTCTGGGCTTAAGTCAGTAAAGGTAAGTGGCACTGTTGATGGGCCTCCCGTACCTGTCTGTGTCAGTGGGGGTCAGCAGTAACCAGCCTCCAGAAATGTTATGAGTTCAGTTCCAGGATGCGGGTAGTTTCTTTAAGCTACTTTCGTATTGGAGGGGTGGAGATGGGTAGGTCTGTTATGGATTTTTATTAGATACAGAACCCGTGAAGATCCGGTGTAGAATAGGTCTTCAGCCTCCCATTCTTGTCGTAAAGGGCATGTCAGGGGATAGTGATTATGCTATTTTGTTCAAAATTGTGATTTGTTTTAAGTTCTTATTTTCTTAAATTCGTAGGTATTTTAACATTGTATTTTGAAATTGTTTTCGATCTAATAAAATAAACCTAAGCATTGAAATCGCACCCTCTTATTACATCAGTTGGGAAAGTTATAATTCCAATTTGGGAATTTTTCAGATCAGGTCTAGATAAATCCCTGGTACCTGTATTTTTCAGTTGACAAATCGACCTATGAAGATCCGATGTAGAATAGGTCTTCAGCAACCAATTCTTGTCGTAAAAGGCGACTATGTTTGTCGTAAGAGGCGACAAACGGGATCGGGTGGTCAGGCTCACTGACTTGGTCGATGCATGTCATGTGATGTGATCTGAAATGGGGTTTAATGTCGCGGCCAAGATTATTGCACTTCTATAGCGACGTGCATGTACGTGTGTGGGTTTGTGTGACTGCTTGTACTAGTCCGGACTGAGGCCGATTTATAGTGTTAGCACACTGAGATACCATGCCGCAGTTTAACATGAATACCCCACTCAGACACAGTATACTGACTCCGAGCCGACCAGTCCTTGTTTTAGCCCCTTTATGCAGGGTAACAACAAGTACCATCTTTTAACGTCTTTTGGTATGACGCGGCCGGGGATCGAACCCCGGACCTTCCGTTCTCCGGGCGGACGCTCTACCACTAGACCACGGTCTCAGGGGATTAGGCCTGTGGGAATGTCTACTTCTTGCCTTAATGCCATATCCTCTCATGTTTCATAGATGAGATTGGGATGAGATTGGTCTAAGGACTATATCAAGTTGTGCCGTCCCTCCCCATTTGATGTAACACTTTTCCACGATCCCCATAATCACTTTTTTATTTGAAAAAAAATAACTGTCATTTTCTTCATTTGTTGAAATATCGAATTTGAAACTGGAATGAAATTTACATATAAAAAACCATCTACGTAGAAAACCACACGGTAGAAAACAGATTGAATCCTTATTGTATGTCAGCAACTCGTCCTATGACACACATGGTGTGTAGTTAATGTCCCCTGCACTATCATATCAGCTATACTCATCAGTCGTCAGAACATACCGCGGTAGGCACGTGTGCCGGCCCAGGGTGTGAGGTACATGTGTCACTTGTGGTCGCTGCAGGGGATGGTTGGCCTTGGCAACCACGCTCTAACATTAGTCATAGAGCAGCAGACCCGGATCCAATTAAAATGACCACGTTTTGGCTTACGTTCGCAAATGGTTTCCCGAATTAATGAGTTTATCGAGCATTTTTATTATTTCAAGTGCACTCCCCGATACCTATTGAAAAACAACCCGTGCACGTAGGCTGGGACGACGCCAAATATACTACCCGAGTATACTACAACAACCCCCCCCCCCCCCCCCCCCCCCCCCCCACCCCCCCCCAGGGTCATCACAATTGGCGTCATAGTGAGTGGAGGCGTGTCATCTTCTCTGATGAAAGTCGCTTTTGTGTCTCCCATGCAGACGGAAGAGTCAGAATTTGGCGGCGTCGAGGTGATCGTTTCGCTGACAGAAACGTTGTGGAAAGGGATCCATGGGGTGGACCTAGCGTCATGATATGGGCAGGGATTGGACTTAATGGGAGACTTGGACCCATGTGCTTTCTGAATGTTGGCCAAGGTCGGCGACACGGCGTCACTGCTCAGCGGTATATCGACCAAGTGATCAGACCCCACGTTGTTCAATTTTTTGCACAACATCAACAACACATTTTCCAGCAGGACAACGCTCGTCCCCATGTTGCCAGAGCTACCATGGCCTCTCTGCAACAACACAACATCCGTGTTCTACCGTGGCCAGCCCTCAGCCATGATCTGAACCCCATCGAACACTTGTGGGATGAGGTTCAAAGGCGTCTGCACAATGTGCGCCCAGTTCCTACAACTGCCGATGAACTACGCACAGCTACTCAGGATGTGTGCAGGAGGATCCCTAGGGCATTCACAAATCGTCTGATCCACTCAATGTACAGGAGATGTGTGGCAGTGATCAATGCTAATGGTGGTCACACCAGGTATTGACTGACATTTTGGGTATTGATCCGAAACTGTGTAAGCCCTTAACATTTGAAAATAACCAATTATGTCATCTGCCTTTTAATCCATTAAACTGTCTTCAGTCAAATTTTTGTCAATCTTGCCCTATTAGTATTTCTTGTCTTTACTGTTGAAAATAAATAACATGTATACTGCATACTCGACTTGCGTTTCTTTTGCGTGTGAGTATATATCCAATACAGTCTATAAGTCTATAATGTTTGGCAAGTCTAGATTACTGCAGTTTCTGAAAATGAAGAAGTCTCTGGGCTCCTTTTTATTATGTTTTATAACTATAATTTAACAAAAACAAACTCTGTAAAATATGTTCATTTCAGAGACTAGATGTTAGTCTAACATAGACCCACCTAGCACCATCTGTAATAAGGGCAGCCTCCGTGGTATAGTGGAGAGCGTCTGCCCAGTTTGACGGATTCAACTGGTCGGTCGGAGTATCCTGTGCCTGAGTGGAGTATTCATGTAAAAACTGCAGCACGGTATCACAGTGCGCTAGCACTGTAAAACCGGCATTAGTCCGGACGAGGATAGTTGATCGTTGTTCATGAACCAATGGTTTCTCTGGTGCAGACTCGATGTCTTTCAGACCAATCTGATGATTTACTTTGACGTCATATGGCGAGTACCAATCCAGCGATGATGTGGACATGGGCGTTGGAATTGAGCTCGGATAGTGGATGTCACGAGCTAACGCTTTAACAGTTATGCTACTGCGGCATGGTATCTCAGTGGGTTCGCACTAGAAAAAAACGGCATTAGTCCGGAATAGTACAAGCAGCCAGCCATACCCATCCACACCTGCTTACACATCGCTGTATAAGTGTAATGATCTTGGACGCGAAACGCGGACGTTAAAAGCCATTTCACCTCACCTCACCATGTAATACCGAAACTGAAGAAATGTAACCAAACAACATTCATTCACACCCTTATCATGCTCAGATCAGATGTGTGGGATGGGGGTTGGGGAGTAGCCTTATGGTTTAGCTTTCGCTAGTTTCTCCAGAACTAAACCCTACTGTTGATGTATGATAGCTGCCTTCAATTCAAATCACGCACCTGTTACAGATGCGGAAGATCCAGGATACTGAGACGAAAGAGAAGGTGTTCCTCGCTCTCTCTGGAATCGCCATCATCGCATCCACCGCCTTCACCATCTACAAGCTGGCCACTGTGGACAAGGCTCAGGCGGACTTTGTCTTCGCCCTCGTCATCATTGTCAATGCATGTGCGTCCAGCGGAAAGGGTTTTATAGATCATATTTTTATTTCTTCTTTTTTTCACTTTTTTAAAAATATTTTTTTTCAATTCATTAGACTGTAACATTGGTACAGGAGGTATAGAAGTGTATCAGTTCAAAGCATCTTAAAACATGATCAGATATGGGTATTTACATATATTGGATTTGAACATACTTAACGCATTGTTAGTGCGGTATGGGAAATGATTGCAATTGGTAAAAAATCTAAATTAATAGTGTATGTTGTTATTTGCCTATTAGAATGCGTGAGTGAGTTGAGTTTAACTCCTCTTAGAACAGTATTCCCGTTCTGGATGTGTCTGTTTAATGTGGGAGGAAAGCCCGAAGTGATGCAGGTCTTAGACGTTTACCCCTTCGGTGAAATCCAAGAGCACAGGTATGGTGCTGACAAACTAGAAACATAATCGGGGCGAATCGGGATTCGAACCCAAAATCATAGGTTTTCTTGCGTGCCCAAAGAACGCAACATAACAGCAACTTTTCGGCGCCTTATACGACTGCACCCTGAATGCCTTCCTGTCGGTTAGATGTCACAAGGTGTGTGAGTAACAGTACACATGCCTACGGAAGCATATAAGGGTCATGGTTGGCCCAGTGGTATCGGGCGTCGCATTTCGTTGAGGGTAATTGTTAACCTTCGTCATACCAGGATCCCCTGATCGTGGATACGATTCTCAGATTCGCCCAAATTCAGATCCATAGTTTGTTTGGCATTATAGCGGTTCTTGTGCATGGGTTTCCCCAACACGGTAAGCGTGCGCGGGCAACGTCAGTTTGGGTCCCGCCCATCCCCCACCCCCCACGCCCACATCAAGCTGACACGCCGTGAAATGACTGAAGAACTGTTCAAAGCGTCGTTGAACCCATCTTACTCACTCACACTGGTCTTCATCCGTAGGCTTCTGCGCGTTCTATCTGGTGCACGGCGTGCTGAAGGAACGTCCGTATGAAATCTTCATCCTTGTCATCACCACCGTCATCATGCTCATCTACCTCATCGTCAACTACTCCGTGGGCGCGGAAGGCACCATCAAACTGGTCGGTACATATACACATTCACACATGATTGTCTGATCTTCCCTAGGCAAGAGCGTCCACTAGCCTTTTTTAGTCTTGTTTCCACACTTGGTTTATCGAGCCCACTTTCCTGTGCTAAATATGATTGGACTATCGCACATGCCGATAGTCCAATCAGAGAACGTTACACAAAATCAACCTCCACGACTGGTACACCTTCGTATGAAAGTGATGTAGCTCTTCCTGTCTTTGTTGACACGTCTTTTTAATCTTTTATACCCCCAACGATTGCCTAGTATGTTTTTGTTTCAGGGATGAAATCGCGAATGTTTTCGTTATCTGATCAACTAGGTCGTCACCTATGGTAGTCGCCATCTTTGTGAAGCTGTAGCATATAAGAACAGCGATCTGATTGGATATCCCGTTTTCAAATACAAGGAGCAAAATTCTACGCGGGGTGGCGCCAGGATCGAGCCAAGAAAAGTGGCCTTGATGTGGCAAGGGTAGAATTCGAAACTACGCTTTCATATAGGCTAGTGGTCATGCTTGCCTCGGGAAGATAGTTGTAACTGAGAACAGAAGTGACAGATAATGGTCGCTGATGACAGATGTTCATCATCCAACAATATCCAGCTAAGCTAAATTGCGTCCTTGTCTTTTCCAGGTCCGGCTGATCATCGCGTGCTGCCTGGCGCCATTTGTGGCGCTGATGGGTGGGTGGCTGGGGAGGGAGTACATGCTGTCAGGGAACCTCATCTTCAGGACGGTGGGTGCCAGCTCTACGCTGCAGTCCATGTGCAAGAACCTCTTCCTTTTTCTGGACTTGCTCAAGCTCGACCTCCAACTCGGGGTGAGGATTCTAGTGCATACTTAAACCTGCTCTGGGTGACATAATCACTTTACTCATAATATCAACCGCCTGTTTTTCTTGTCAGACTCGATTATTTACAGGCTGTCGTGATGTGACTGGAACATTGCTGACTGCAGCATTATTCAACAAATAAATTAATATAAGCAGTTCCGTGAAGAATCCGGGTTAGAATTGGTATTGTGGTAAGAGGCGACTAATGGTATCGGGTGGTCAGGCTCGCTGACTTGATTGATGCATGTCATCGTATCCCAGTTGGGTTGATCATGCTCATTATGTCAATAACTGTATTGTCTGGTCCAGACTCGATTATTTACAGGCGAACCATATTGTCGTAAGAAGCAACTAACGGGATCGGGGATTCTGACATGTGTTGAATTTGTATGCGCGCTAGTTCAAATACACTGACAGTAAAGCATATTTCGCTATATTCTTTATTGTTCCCTTATTCGTTTCTATCAGTACATTATCCAGTTATGGTGCATATATTTATGTACATTGTCGTAAGAGGCGACTATGCTTGCCGTAAGAGGCGACTAATGGGATCGGGTGGTCAGGCTCGCTGATTTGGCTGATGCATGTCATCGTATCTCAATTACTTTGATCGATGTTCATGGCGTCAATAGCTGGATTGTTTGGTCCAGACTCGATCATTTACCGCCGTCATATAGCTAGAATATTGCTGAGTGCAACGTTAAACAACAAACAAACAAACATGCTAAAACAGAGCGTGTGGCTGGTACATTACGCCTGTTTAACAACTATATAGAGACCGTGCCCGTAACTCATCTGTTCAAGATCAACCGATGTTCTGAGATCTCATTCTCCTCCGTATGCCCTGAAGATGTGAGTGTGTCGCTGCATGACGTCATTTATTATGTAATTTCAGATCACCATGGTCATACTGATTCTTGTAAACGGTATCAACGTCAACACGCTCGACATCGTCGTTCTCTGTGTCGGTATCGTCGTAACCATAGGCTGGTTCGTCTTGGGACATGCATGTGTAAGCCATGTTAAACTCCACAGGCATCGATAACCCCTCCAAATATGTTAACCCAATTTGTCTATCGAAATTAAGTAAGTAAGTAAGTAAGTAAGTAATATTTTCGCCAGCACTAGCTTACTTTGTGAACGGAAATATCTGTCTTCAGCAACCCCTGCTTGTCATAAAGGCGACTCTGCTTGTCATAAGAGACGACTGACGGGATCGGGTGGTCAGGCTCGCTGACCTGGTTGCTGCATGCCATCGATCCCAATTACATGGATCAATGCTTATGATGTCAATCACTGTCTGGTCCAGACTCGATTACGTACAGACTGCCGTCATACAGCTAGAATATTGCTGAGAGCGGCGTTAAACAACAAACAAACATCTGTCACTTTGGAATGCAACCATTCCATCGAACGACGGAAGTGTGTTTTTCTCATAAATTCATATTAATCATCAAACATTTGTCCATCTTAACCTCAAGTAGAATACCTTTGTTCCCGTTGTGTTCTCAATTACAACTGCCCTGTTGCAGGTGCGCTTTGAGCACAAGATCATGACGTACGTGTTCTGGGGCCTCAGTCCCCTGGAGCTGGGCTATATCATTTATAAAATTGTCAAGGTAAGATACAAAATATGAAGACAATCAAGTGAGTGAGTGGGTACATTTTCAAATAGATACGAATAAGCGGGGCTTAAACAATACACGTGTCTTTTAAAAATACAAAAAAGTTCCTATACCCTAGACTTAAGTAGTCATACACAAGAATAAAGTAAATAAAATAGTTAAGGTAGCTATACCATATTAAAAAATAGACTGATTCCCCAGGCATACGTTATTAGGGGCTGTCAATAAATACATCCGGTCTTTCCATGATTTTGCGTTTTGTCGTCGTCGTCTTTGTGTTTGTGAGTATGGCAATGACAATGAATTCACCATGTTAAGAATTATGTTGGCCTTTTAGGGGGTTGTTTTTCTTGTTGTTGTTTGGGTTGCATTTTTGTTTGTTTTGGTTTGTTTGTTTTGTTTTGGTTTGTTTGTTTGTTTGTTTGTTTTTTCTGGTGGTTTGTTCGTTTGTTTGTTGTTGTTTTGTTTGTTTGTGTGGTTTGTTTTGTTTGTTTGTTGTTGTTGTTGTTGGGTTTTTTGGGGGGGGATCTCGATCTAAGCTGAAGGAATTGTGTGTTTTTTATCTTACCTTGAACTTTTGAATTGGACCCTAACGGGATCGGGTGGTCATGCTCGCTGACTTGGTTGACGCATGTCATCATATAACAATTGCGTTAATCTCTGGGTTGTCTGGTCCAAAGTCGATTCTTTATTCTCATCGTATAGCTGGGTTCAGCGTTCAACAACAAACAAACGTACATGCAATGCCCTTGTACTATCATCGAATGTCTGTGTGTGTTTTTTTGTTGTTTAACGCTGCACTCAGCAATGTCCGGCTACAATCCAGGTCATTGTCAACATATTCCCGCTACATGACGGCCTAGTATAAAAGAACGAGCTTCTACTACCATATAAAGACCTACTACTACCATATAATGACGTTCTATCATATAATGACCTAGTACTGACGTGAAATGACCAAGTCCTACCTGGTACTACTATCACATGACCCCGTTAGAACCTGGAACGACCTGGTGCTACTATAGAATGACCTAGTACTAACGTGGAACGACCTGGTGCTACTATATAATGACCTAGTACTAACGTGGAACGACCTGGTACTACTATAGAATGACCTAGTACTAACGTGGAACGACCTGATACTACTATAGAATGACCTAGTACTAACGTGGAACGACCTGGTACTACTATAGAATGACCTAGTACTAACGTGGAACGACCTGATACTACTATAGAATGACCTAGTACTAACGTGGAACGACCTGGCACTACTATAGAATGACCTAGTACTAACGTGGAACGACCTGATACTACTATAGAATGACCTAGTACTAACGTGGAACGACCTGGTACTACTATAGAATGACCTAGTACTAACGTGGAACGACCTGGCACTACTATAGAATGACCTAGTACTAACGTGGAACGACCTGATACTACTATAGAATGACCTAGTACTAACGTGGAACGACCTGGTACTACTATAGAATGACCTAGTACTAACGTGGAACGACCTGGCACTACTATAGAATGACCTAGTACTAACGTGGAACGACCTGATACTACTATAGAATGACCTAGTACTAACATGGAACGACCTGGTACTACTATAGAATGACATAGTACGAACGTGGAATGACGATGTATTACCAAAGAATGACCTAGTATCAACATAATGACTTATATTTATTGCGATAGACTGACATAGCACAACCATAGAATGACTAAGTTTTATATATATCTGTGGCTTCCCCCATCCACCTGCAGGCGTCGCAGCGTCTGTCTTTGGCACCGGTTGTGGCCCCGGCTCTGGCCGCGTGCTCCGTCACGGCAGGCATTCTGGCAGCTCTAACTCGGGTCGGCGTCATCATCCTGACCTACTTCGTCTACAGGAACTACGACAACGGCCTCAAGGAAAAGGGTGAGGACATATACATAGGTCTAGTAACACCAGAAACAAGATAGTGCATAATTCGTCCTTAGATGCAGTCAGTAATATTCCATCTTTATCAGAGAGATCTGTAGATGAAGTAATCTACCCCAGCCAAACAGTGATTGATAACATGAGCAACAATCCCGACGCCGGGTGCTTTGACACACAACCAACCAGGCCATATATTATAATACTCCAATCCTCATTAGTTAAGATGTAAGTATCACGTTTTGCTTGATCAGCAATATTGCTTAACACAGTGGTGGATATCTTGTTCCAATGGCTGTAGAATAGGTCTTCAGCAACCCATGCTTGTCGTAAGAGGTGACTATGTTTGTCGTAAGAGGCGACTAACGGGATCGGATGGTCAGGCTCGCTGACTTGGGTGATGCATGAACATTGTATCCCAATTGCGTGGATCGATGCTCATAATGTCAATCACTGGCTTGTCTGTTCTAGACTCGATTTTTTACAGACCGCCGTCACATCGAGGGATTATTGCAAAGAGGGAATATATAATGTCTGCTCTCTGTCCCAAACATGGGTGTTCTGTGTCCTATTTGCGTTTATTTTTCAGCATTTGGCTCCAACTGACCACATGGATTCATGAATCGTTCATCAAGGAGGAGGTTCAAACTCTCCATCCCTCGTCACGCTTGGCTTATCTCAATCACGTGGTACCAGCCATCATATGATACCTTCGTCACGTGGTGTCAACCTACACGTGGTACAAGTCATCCTATGATTCCTTTCAGCAGGTGGTATCGACGTCAAGCTGCTTCTTGTCATGGCGGAGACGTGTTTTAAATGTAGAAATATACGGTCACTCGATGGAACATACAATAAACTCAAGAAGGAAGCGGAATTTCTGAAACCGGTTCTCCAAAACGTGGATGACATACCCGCTGCACCACGCCTATCATTCATATCTTACAGAATTTCTATCCAACTATCATGCGCCAGCCTGTACATATACTAACGCAGTCCTGTACACATATTGTCTCTCAGCCAGTCAAGTGTAGCGGTCACGATATTGCCGAAGTGACTACTATAAATATTAACTCCCTCACTCAAGTGTAGCGACACCACGCTAGAGTTCAGAAGTGAATATGCCAACTGTGTCGCCCTGTCAACATTGTTAATATGTTTATATTAAGTGTAAATAATCATCCATTCGTTTGCTGAAAGACTCTCTGTGTTAATATTTTCATTTCGTATAAATGAAATCCGGATCGGTAAAAGAGCAATACTGCTTAATGTGTAAATACCGATCCGGGACAATAGCTGGTGATATAAACATGTTATTGCTAAACATAATTAGATGTACAGAACATAATAATAAACCCACAAAAATAAACTGTAATGTGTGGTGTGGAGCTGTGTCCATCACGTATATCATGATGACAGGCGACAGGGAAGCGCAGTAACCGAAGAGCATTGTCTTGGGACGCGAGACTCATCACAGTAAGAAACATAAAGCACGAGACATTAATCGTAGTGTTAAATATAAAGCACGGCACCCTCATCACACCGTTGAATAAAAAGCACGGCACAATCATCACAGTGTTCAATATAAAGCACGAGACTCACCACAGTGTTAAATATAATCACGAGACTCATCACAGTGTTAAATATAAAGCACGGCACCCTCATCATAGTGTTGAATAAAAAGCACGAGACTCATCACAGTGTTAAATATAAAGCACGAGACTCATCACAGTGTTGAATAAAAAGCACGGCACAATCATCACAGTGTTAAATATAAAGCACGAGACTCATCACAGTGTTAAATATAAAGCACGAGACTCATCACAGTGTTGAATAAAAAGCACGGCACAATCATCACACTGTTCAATATAAAGCACGAGACTCATCACAGTGTTAAATATAAAGCACGAGACTCATCACAGTGTTGAATAAAAAGCACGGCACAATCATCACAGTGTTCAATATAAAGCACGAGACTCATCACAGTGTTAAATATAAAGCACGAGACTCATCACAGTGTTGAATAAAAAGCACGGCACAATCATCACAGTGTTAAATATAAAGCACGAGACTCATCACAGTGTTGAATAAAAAGCACGGCACAATCATCACAGTGTTAAATATAAAGCACGGCACACTCATCACACTGTTGAATAAAAAGCACGGAATATTCACCGCAGTATCAAACATAAAGCACGAGACATTAATCAAAGTGTTAAATATAAATACGAGACTCACCAGTTATAAACAGTAAGCACAGTTAACTCACCGCACTATCAAACATAAAGCAGGACACATTCATCGTAGTGTTAAATATAAAGCACAGCATACTCATCACAGTGTTAAATTATAAAGCACGTGTAACTTACATCTCGGCTACACAAACAGTGAGTGAGTGAGTGAGTATGGTTTTACGCCGCTTTATGCAATATTCCAGCAATATCACGGCGGGGGACACCAGAAATGTTTCACACATTGTACCCACGTCGGGAATCGAACCCGGGTCTTCGGCGTGACGAGCGAACGCTTTAACCACTAGGCTACCTGACCGCCCCCTACACAAAGAGACCGTATGTACAATGCCCCTACCGACAGTCGAAAAAAACAGGCCAACAAAAACTACATATTAATATGAGTACCATTACCTCGATGTCTATTCAACAAAATTAATCAAATAAACTGGCATATTATACGCTACAACTGAACTCTGTCGAACAGATATTCCGTATAAGACGGTTCTCGTGCGTCCAGGTGTTGCTCCTTGGAGGAAGGATATGTCAGAAAACTTAATCGTAATATTTCACCTGCCCATTGGGAAAATAATCCGAAATAATCCCAATTCAGTTATAACAGAGATAAATATAAAAGACACAACCCTGTCCACGTTCATAAGAAATCTCTGCCCAAAGCAGAGTCGATAGTACGATTCCGAATACATCATGAATCACTATCAAATACTGATAATATCGAGTGCCCGCGAAAAGGTGAGAATATCTTGCCCCACTGGCGGCATCTGTCACAAACACATACAAAGGCAAGTCAATTGTTCACCTGAAAAATAAACCGGAAACATATGATACAAGTCAAAACAAGGAATTGCATTGGACATTTTTGTCACTGAAGCGTCACATTTGGGAATGTCTTCTAAATGTATACATGTACCATAAGACAATGTTTTGTTTGTTTGTTGTTTAACGCCGCGTTCCAGATATATGACGGCGGTCTGTAAAATAATCGAGTCTGGACCAGACAATCCAGTGATTAACATCATGAGCATCGATCCACACAATTGGGATACGATGACATGCATCAACCAAGTCAGCGAGCCTGACCACCCATCCCGTTAGTCGCCTCTTACGAAAAGCATAGTCCCCTTTTACTGCAAGCATGGGTTGCTGATGACCTATTCTACCCCGGATCTTCACGGGTCGTTTTTTAATGTACGGAGATGCATTACTATAAGCCAGTACGGCTTGTTTGCGGATCCCGTCATGGATAATAGAATAACTATGCTTAAAACTCTGAGCTCGCACATTATTTTTGTTTACACATTTGAAAACAGGTGGTAGTCACTAGGGGCCAGATGTGGTGAATAAGATGGAGGTAGTGAAGCTCGTATAACCACATCCCCGTAGAGTACCAATTGCAACATGCAACTGTCGGGGAAAAGACAGTACACGCCCATGTTTGATGGTGACTAAAACTGAAACATGATTTGATCATTTAGCCAACAACATGCCAAGCTGACCAATGATTTCAAGATTCAGAGTGACAAAACACTCTCCACAAGACTGTATGACAAGAGGGATGACTTCAACTTTCCAGTAGTCAGCTTTCCCTTCATGTCGAGCAATATTCCAGCACCTCCAGCCTTTGGTGTTTACATTTCACAACTTTTGAGATACAATCGAGCATGTTCTTTCCACCAAGATTTCAAAGAGCGTCATACGCCTCATGCTCAGAAGTTGTTTGATCAAGGTTACAACAACATACAAGGCCTCTGTAAAGCTTTCCAAAGTTTTTTTGGTAGACATGTGGAGGACATATCCAAATTTGACGCATCAGTGACAAAAATTATGTCCTATGCAATTCCCTATTATCAAATGTACCATATGTTTCTGTGGGTTTTTTTCAGGTGAACTATTGACTTGCCCTTGCATGTGTTTGTGACGGGTGGCACCGGCGGGATAGGATACGCTCACCTTTTCGCGAACACCTGGTATCATTAATATTTCATAGTGCTCATGCTCATGATAAAGTCGGAATCGTACAATCGACTCTGCTTTATGCAGAGATCACTTTGGGATATGGAAAGGGTTTTGTCGCTTTATTCCACACCAGTATGTGTAATAGACTATCATGAAACGTCGATAGTTTTGTAGTATCTAGACTTATCTACTATATTTCATTCATGTATGGTACTTGGCAGTGTCGAGATGAACATTCAACAGGTGCGCCTCCCGTGGGGTAACATTGCATTGCTTTACAATATTCGTCACCACTCGCCCCTTTCCGTAACCTGCAAGAAGATCGGCTTGTCCCGGAATAACACGAGTTGGTCACGAATGTGCTTTTCAAGTGCGGAATTCATTGATTGAAGTGAGTGGGCCCACGACCACGATCCACCATTGAGCACACTGACACTTGAAGGCAACAAGATCACAGAAGATTTATCTTTGTTATTTTCGTTTGTTTGTTTGTTGTTTAACGCCGCACCCTACTCGGCAATATTCTAGCCATATGACGGCGGCCTGTAAATAATCGAATCTGGACCAGACAATCCAGTGATTGACATCATGAGCATCGATCCACGCAATTGGGATCAATGTCGTGCATCAACCAAGTCAGCGAGCCTGACCACCCGATCCCATTAGTCGCCATCTTTTTGAAACCTCTATGCACATGCAGTCTTTTGACAAAAACAAGACCACACATGTTCAAATGTTGACCACACATCAATGTTTAGGACTGACTGCTTATCCCATTCAGGGAATTCAAACTGATACCTTTCCAGCATTATCCGTCTCAAAACCATCTTTCTGAAGAATCTTAAATGATTCAAGAGAATCATGCCTTCAATAAGTCAGTTTGTGTACAGTCACACACATGGCCTTGACCCGGACTCATTCAATGGCTGCACAGGATTGAAAAGCTTGGACCTATCATTCGGTGATATGTATGTTCATGCAGTTATTCAAGGATCGTGTGGATTAGTAAGCTTATCGTTGTTGGCTGAAAAGTGGACTTTACACTTTGCTCCAATGTGTGGAACAAAAACGTGTCTTTCAAGAGTACAATTTAAACCCCACGCCAACACCACCAAACGTATTGTATTTAAAAAAACTATATCTTGAAAAGTAACATTATTATGTTGTGTTTTTTATTAATACGTATCAACTCAATAAGAAAAAAACCCGGTCTGTTAACTATACTTGCGGGATTACAAGTTTGTTTGTTTGTTTATTTAACGCCGCACTCAGCAATAGTCCAGCTTTATGACGTAGGTCTTAATCCAGTCTGGACCTGACAAGCCAGTGATTGACATCATGAGCATCGATCCGCGCAATTGGGATCAATGACATGCATCAACCAAGTCAGCGAGCCTGACCACCCGATCCCGTCAGTAGCCTCTTACGACAAGCATAGTTGCCTTTTACAGCAAGCATGGGTTGCTGAGGACATATTCTGATCCGGATCTTCACGGGTGGGGACAAGTATTTTTTCGCAATTTTGCCTTTTAAGCCCAATGAAATCATTCACGTCGGATAATCGAGATTATTCTCTGACGTTTTATATAGAGATACTATTTAGCTGTAGTTTATTTAGAGGTTGGTCTAAAAGAACACAAACATGGCCGAGTGGACATGCATGCATGACATGCGACGTGCATGCACGTTTGTTTGTGGCTGCTTGTACTGGTCCGGACTGATGCCGATTTATAGTGCTAGCACACTAAGATACCACTCACAGTATACTGACTCCGAGCCGACCAGTCCTTGTTTTAGCCTCTTAATGACGAGCGGTAGACAGGGTAAAAACAAGTATCTTTTAACGTCTTTTGGTATGAATGGGTCGGGAATCGAACCCAGGGCCTTCCGCTCTCCGGTTGGACGTTCTACCGGAGTCCGTCTCCCTGTTTCCACTAGGCTTTGATATAGGCTAGTGGACACCCTTGCCTCGGGGAGATGCAGGTAGGTACATACGTGTTAGTTTTACATAAGAGGAGTCTGAAGAGTAAATGTGTTATTGACCTTAACCTTTTGGTGTACATGTTTTTAATAAATGTATCTTTTGCGTTCGACATGGCTGAGATATTGCAAAGGGTCCGTAGTGAGTGAGTTGGGGATAACACCGTTTTGAACAATATTCCAGTTATATCACCGAGTGTCTGCTTAATATGGGGGTAAAGCCCGAAGTGACACAGTGTCAGGGGTTTACTATTTTGATGAAACCCAGTACAGGTATGGTGCTGACAAACCTTGAAACTATCGGGGTGAATCGGATTCGAACACACTATCATAGGTTTCTAGCGCGGCCAAGGGCCTTAGACGACTGGCCCACCCATGTCCGATGCGACCGCAAGTTGTAAAGCATACATTTGTTTGATATATGCTCTTATGTTATGAAATTCATTTATATGCAGTTCCTTATGTAAGAATGTTCGAATATTGTGTTTATTGACTTGGATGTTAAATATTCTGTCTCCCCAACAAAGACATGTTCTACATGTATGTAAATATGTTTTAGAATTTAAGATATAGATTTGGTTTGATTTGTTTTTCTTGCTTGTTTAGGGGGGGTCGGGTAGCCTAGTGGTTAAAAGCGTTCACTCGTCACGCCGAAGACCCGGGTTCGATTCCCGACATGGGTATAATGTGTGAAGCCCATTTCTGGTGTCCCCGTGATATTGCTGGAATATTGCTAAAAGCAGCGTAAAACCATACTCACTCACTCTTGCTTGTTTAATGCCTCACACAGTAATATTCCATTTTCATGGCGATGGCTTGTAAAGTGTAAGTGTGCACCAGACAAATCTGTTAGTGTGGCAGATATTATGAGTATGGCTCCATGCAGTAGTCTGGTAAGGTGTGTCTTTCTGGAGCAATTTGTAGTAGGACATGTATAGAACATTTCCAAATTTGGCGCATCTGTGACAAAAGTTATGTCTGAAGTAATTCCTGGTGTTGACTTGTACTAAATGTTGCAGTATGTGTGCAGATGAACACTTGACTTGCCTTTGCATGTGTTTGTGATGGGTGTCACTGGAATTGATAGCGATTCATAAACACATACTTATGATATTGTTGGAATCGTACAATGAACTCTGCTGAGATTTCTTTGGTTGTCGTTGCTTTTAGTAACAATTAAGATTTAACAAATGTTGTTTTTTGTGTTGTTTTAAATATAATGCTATCTTGCAAGTCTCTGTCACTTCTCATCAGAATTGATATATCAAGCAGCAAAACGTTAGGTTTCCTCTGTGGTAGAAGCAATGTTTCTTCAGCAGAGGCCCCAACATGATGTCATCACAATGTTAAATGGATAGGTGTTACACAGTTTTGAGATGTCTTTATTCGACATCACAAATGACAGAGGTAGAACAAGAGGAAACGGAACTAACTACTACATGATTCTATAATGTAAATGTACATGATCCTCTAAAAGTGATGATAGTCTCAGATCGACACAGATTTATGCTATCTCATTGTTCGAGGGCTTGCCAAGGTCCAGGCACACCATTACTGGACACTATATTTGACAACCTGTTTGTTGTCAGTTGCGTCCCGAGTCACCATCTTGTCCAACTGATCCACTTTGTTTCCTCTCTCGACCAGCTTAATGCATAGGCTGTTGGAGACCAAATACAACACGGAACCTCCACGATGAAATGAAGCACATGACTGGCTGAAATTGAGGTCCAAGATGTGCATAGAACTTTCTAAAAAATGTACTTAGATATTCTGGTTTAATGTCTCACTGCATCCTGTAAATTTCCCCACCTTTCTGATATCATACTACGGCCAGTGGCGTCCTATAAAGCATAAATGGCTAACGCCAGAAAACAACCAATCTGGACCATCAGCGCTGAAACAAGTTCAACCAGCAAAAGTCAAAATAGCGGTAAAAATATTTTGCTACAAATTGGAGCTGAATATCACTGACAGAAAATGTAAACACTGCAAACATTTTTGTTTCCTTTAAAGGGCAAGTTCACACGGAAATTAACCTATTTTTCTTGTACTTTTTCCACATTAAAAGTGTTAACCTAGAAGTGTCATAGACAAAAATATAAAAATATCACAATTAATTAACATATTTATCGCATTAAAACGATTTATATTTTTCACATTTACCAAGTGTTCTATTTCCACAACAAAAACACCATGGCTTATGCCCCTTGCAATATGACGTCATTGGTGCCAATTGATAAACATTATGACGTCATCATGCTTTGTTAGAGCCGCTTCACGTGGTGTAGGTCTAGGTGTGTGATTCTAGCGTCTCAGATGCCAGCCAGCATAGTGTTATGCTGAGTCACCACTGCGCCGGAGTGTGTCGTAGGCCATGTTGTTTTACCGCAAACTGGTACTTGATATCTTTTGCGTTGAGAATAGACAGGGACCCAGTTGAATTGGCACCAATTACGTCATAATCTAAGGGGGATAACTCAGGCCTGTTTAGCTCGAAAAACGAAGGCCTCATAACGGCATATCATTTTCACACTATTGTGAGCTTCCTACTTTCACTGTGAAAAAAATGAGTGTATATTTTCAAACACAGATACTAATTAATTCTAAAATTGCGTTTTGTTTAGAAAAAGAAAGAAAGTGATTTTTGCGTGTACACTTCCCCTTTAAGCAGCACTAGCTTTAAACTCATGACATTAGCCTTACTTCAGTCCTCAGGACCAGTCTTAAAACACAGATTTCTAAGGCTGAGTATGCCCAATGTGATGTTGAATTGATGCAAGACATCTGATCCTATAAACCGTATTTGCGAGTTGAGTCATCCCACAACCTGGTGAGAACACTTTCAGGTCATGTAGGGAGGGAGTCTGTCCCCTGAAAAAGTTGGATTACCAGGGTCCACTTGCACAGAACAAGCTTAGCGCTACAATTATTGTAAATCTTTAGGGTTGCAAACTTAGGCTTCGGCTACAATTGCCATCCTCTTGCACAAAGCGATTGTAGGCGCCTAAGATCGATTGTAACAAAGATTGTTCTGTCAAGTGAATCCTGGAGATCTACCGAGAGCAGAGATTTATCTAGGTTTCCAAAAATAATGCCCTTGGGGGGAAAATTGGGGACATTGTTACTTTGTTTGAAATTAAGATTATTGGTTTTTTTCGTAGATTCAAAGGTATTTTGACATGTTTAATATTGAATAATAACACTGCATTCCATGCCATAATGTTAAACTAATCATTAATACCACTGCCTCTATATTGGTCCTGCTATCAGTGAAGTACAAAGACATAACATTACTATAACAGCATGAACTGGGAAATGTTTCATTCCAATTTGGGATTTGTTACTGACATCTAAGCAGGTCTAGATAAATACCTGGAGAGTTCCCTCCCCTGGTCCATCACACATTCAGATGGAGTCCATTACAAGTCCATTTTCACAGATTTCATTCAGAGATATAGCCCCACATCACATAATGGCAAGATTTGCTATTTCACAGTTATAAGAGTGGTACAGATTGTTAGATATCACAGCTGGAAGACTTGGAGACTCTCTCTCATATTGAAGACGTGGTGGGTCAAAGGGAGGACCAGATGCAGGTGTTGTGCTAGATGTTCCTCAGTGACGATGTGCAGTAAGATCTCTGTCCAAACAACCTCAGACAGAATTCTGGTTTGTAGGTTTTCATTTTCAGAGCAATCTGAGACTGGGAATCCGCAAATACGGAAGTCACTTTTTCTTGGTCCGTTTAGCGGATGTTGTGTCCTTGCTTCGAGCCTGTGCTGGCCTTTTCACAACATTTGACGACTTCTTCTTAACCTGTACAAATGTAATAAACATGATAAACAACAGTTAAACATTTGGATCATGGTGCCACAATAAACACAGTCACAAAAACTCAAAATATTACTGTCTATATAAACAAACTCATGTCACACCTCATGTATTATCTGTTTTGTTTGTTGGTTGCTTAATGCCACATGCAGCAATATTCCAGCTATATGACTGAACCAGACAATCCAGTGATTGATATTTTGAGCAACAATGACACACTATCAACCAAGACACTGTGTCGCCTCTCACAACCAGCCTAGGTTGCTGGCGATCAGCCCTAACTCGTAATCCCCTTGGGGATGTGAGCAAGTATAGCTGGCACGCACTAGAGTCCATATTGCAGCAATGTGGACACTCTAACAACCCTGCAGCCTTGTCACCATGTTATGTGCCATCTGGTCTAAAATGTCATAAGGCTTTGTTGCTTCCACATATCTTAAAACAAAATATCAGGTGTTTGGACATTTATTTCTGGTTGTCCATTTTTATCTACATCAAGTTTCCAGTTTCCATCTGTCACTGACTAAACAAGAAATTCCCAGGCCACATGTTGTGAGACTGTCTTCATGCATGGCTTGTTACACCTCAAGTAAAGTGAGTGTGTCAGTGAGTATGTTTTTACGCTGCTTTTAGCAATATTCAGCAAGGACACCAGAAATGGGCTTCACACATTGTACCCATGTGTGGAATCAAACCGGAGTCTTTGCGTGACGAGCGAATGCTTTAACCACTAGGCTATCAAGTAAACACCAATGACACTGGAGTCATTGTAGCTGTTCAACATGCTCACCTCAGTCTTGTCAATGTCCTTAAAGTGCTTTAGATCAGCAGCAAACAGCACCTGCAGACACAAGGAGTGAGTGAGTGAGTGGGGTTAAACGCTGCTTTGAACAGTATTCAACTTAAATCAGGGCATGTCAGCTTAATGTGGGAGGAAAGCCCGAAATGATGCAGGTCTTAGACGTTTACCACTTTGGTGAAACCCACGAGCACGGGTATGGTGCTGACAAACCTAGAAACAGAATCGAGGCGAACCGTGATTCAAACCCACAACCATATGTTCTAATTGTGTTTAAATTAACAGGTAGGCCCTTTTTAACATTGTCTTTTGAGGTTGCAATCAATGCAATAATATATAATTAAGCATAATAATTCCTAAATATTCATCCTGTTATCAGTGAAATATGTGTTAAATCTACAAAGCCATAAATTTAGCTATTAGTTATTAACATAAATTTGAAAACTTTTGATTCCATTTTGGGAATTTTTAATGACATTTGCTGCAGACTCGAGGACAAATATCTGCCTCTGAGCAGGTCTAGATAAATAAATCACGGTATTGTGATGAGAACAAATTATACATTAATAAAAAATACATTTAGAAAGCATAAAAACATGTCATCAATGGACAGTACAACAACTAGATTATCACAGATTATATCAGAAACTATTATAAATAAAAGACTTATAAATACAATATGGACAGTATAAAAACTGTCTACAGATCACCAGCAACCAAAGGTAGATCGAAAACCATACCAGTATTGAAGATAAGATAAATGTGCTTTTTCTGAAGAGTTTCAGTCTTAACATAGAACACATGTGGGAAAATATTTGTTATCAAGCAAAAATATATAACAATAATGATGACTTGGATGGTTTAATTCTCCACTGTTAGTCTACACAAATAAATATAAATGTAAATATGGCTAATTCTTTCTGTAACAAGGATGAGACTGTGTATGGTGCCTCCTCCAAGCATATAACAGGGATAACACAGAATGGGGCTGACACATTGCATCCATGTGGGGAACTGAACTGGGGTCTTCAGTGATAAGTGAACACTTTATCCACGAAGCTACCAATGGTACTCATTCCTTGTAACCATGGTGAACTTATCGAGTGGGCCTTATCAAGCATACTCCCCGCCCACAGAGCTGTCTGCTGTAACCATGGTGAACTTACTGAGTGGGCCCATCAAGCATACTCCCCGCCCACAGAGCTGTCCGCTGTAACCATGGTGAACTTACTGAGTGTGCCCAGCCAGCATACTCCCCGCCCACAGAGCTGTCCCCTGTAACCATGGTGAACTTACTGAGTGTGCCCAGCCAGCATACTCCCCCCAACAAACTGTCCGCTGTAACCATGGTGAACTTACCAAGTGGGCCCAGCCAGCGTACTCCCCCCCACAGAGCTGTCCCCTGTAACCATGGTGAACTAACTGAGTGTGCCCAGCCAGCATACTTCCCCCAACAAACCGTCCCCTGTAACCATGGTGAACTTACCAAGTGGGCCCAGCCAGCATACTCCCCCCCACAGAGCTGTCCCCTGTAACCATGGTGAACTTATCCAGTGTGCCCAGCCTGCAAACTCCCCGCCCACAGAGCTGTCCCCTTTAACCATGGTGAACTTATCCAGTGTGCCCAGCCTGCATACTCCCCGCCCACAGAGCTGTCCCCTTTAACCATGGTGAACTTATCCAGTGTGCCCAGCCTGCATACTCCCCCCCACAGAGCTGTCCCCTGTAACCATGGTGAACTAACTGAGTGTGCCCAGCCAGCATACTTCCCCCAACAAACCGTCCCCTGTAACCATGGTGAACTTACCAAGTGGGCCCAGCCAGCATACTCCCCCCCACAGAGCTGTCCCCTGTAACCATGGTGAACTTACTAAGTGTGCCCAGCCAGCATACTCCCCCCACAAACTGTCCCCTGTAACCATGGTGAACTTACCGAGTGGGCCCAGCCAGCATACTCCCCCCCACAAACTGTCCCCTGTAACCATGGTGAACTTACCGAGTGGGCCCAGCCTGCATACTCCCCCCCACAGAGCTGTCCCCTGTAACCATGGTGAACTTATCCAGTGTGCCCAGCCTGCATACTCCCCGCCCACAGAGCTGTCCCCTGTAACCATGGTGAACTTACCGAGTGGGCCCAGCCAGCATACTCCCCCCACAGAGTCCTGAAGGAATCCCCTGTAAAAAGAAATGTTGGCTGGATCACATGTCAGAAAAAATGTCATTTGTTTCTTAAATGAAAACATGTCAAGCAGCATAACAAATATTTACTGCTTGATATGACTGATGGATGGTGATTTTTTAAATTTCTTTTTTCATTTGAAGAATCATAACAACAATAGAGTAATCACTCAGATTTGAAGGAAGGTACATGATGTAGATGTTAGCCATATTATTAAACTTTCAGGGACAGAAGTGTTTGGAGGTTTGTTTCTCGGTCTCATGTTCACATAAATACAAACAATGTACCACCATCATATAGCTGGAATATTGCGGCATTAAGCAACATACCAACCAACCAACAAACAATGTCAAAACAAACCAATTCACTGTACATGTATGAATGAACATGACATATAATGTTTATTCTGGGTTACCTATTTCCCGATAGAGTTTATCTGTCAGTGACTTGCTGTGCTGTAGTTTAGGGATGTAGTGCCGAGCTGCGATCTGCCACACATGCGTGTCTACCGGGATTGATCCTGGCTTGTCCATGGACATCAGACATACGCAGTCCGCAACCTACACAACATAGGGCATCATAGACATAGGACTGACGCAGTCTGCAACCTACACAACATAGGGCATCGTAGACATAGGACATACACAGTCCGCAACCTACACAACATAGGGCATCGTAGACATAGGACATACGCAGTCCGCAACCTACACAACATAGGGCATCGTAGACATAGGACATACGCAGTCCGCAACCTACACAACATAGGGCATCATAGACATAGGACATACGCAGTCCGCAACCTACACAACATAGGGCAACGTAGACATAGGACATACGCAGTCCGCAACCTACACAACATAGGGCATCATAGACATAGGACATACGCAGTCCGCAACCTACACAACATAGGGCATCGTAGACATAGGACATACGCAGTCCGCAACCTACACAACATAGGGCATCGTAGACATAGGACATACGCAGTCCGCAACCTACACAACATAGGGCATCATAGACATAGGACATACGCAGTCCGCAACCTACACAACATAGGGCATCATAGACATAGGGCATACGCAGTCCGCAACCTACACAACATAGGGCATCATAGACATAGGACATACACAGTCCGCAACCTACACAACATAGGGCATCGTAGACATAGGACATACGCAGTCCGCAACCTACACAACATAGGGCATCATAGACATAGGACATACGCAGTCCGCAACCTACACAACATAGGGCAACGTAGACATAGGACATACGCAGTCCGCAACCTACACAACATAGGGCATCATAGACATAGGACATACGCAGTCCGCAACCTACACAACATAGGGCATCGTAGACATAGGACATACGCAGTCCGCAACCTACACAACATAGGGCATCATAGACATAGGACATACGCAGTCCGCAACCTACACAACATAGGGCAACGTAGACATAGGACATACGCAGTCCGCAACGTACACAACATAGGGCATCATAGACATAGGACATACACAGTCCGCAACCTACACAACATAGGGCATCGTAGACATAGGACATACGCAGTCCGCAACCTACACAACGTGTCAGCAAATGGGGTGGAGTGGAGTATAGCGTTGAGTTCAAGATTATTACATTTAGACAGCGTGCAAGTGTGTGTGTGGCTGCTTTTACTAGTCCTGATTAATGCTGATTTTATAGTGCTAGCCCACTGAGATACAATGCCGCAGTTTAACATTAATATCCCACGCAGACACAGTATCCGGACTCCGAGCCGACCAGTCCTTGTTTTAGCCCCATAATGACGAGAGCCAGGCAGGGTAACAAGTACCATCTTTTAAAGTCTTTTGGTATGACGAGGCCGGGGATCGAACCCCGACCTTCCGCTCTCTGGGCAGACGCTCTACCACTAGACCACAGAGGTCCACAAGTAATCAGATTACGCAGTTCATAATGTACACAATATATAAAGATATACACAGATTTCAGAAATATTTAGTTTGCTACCTATACATGTTCCATCATGTCATGTTAGTATACTTAGGGACTGACTATTTGATATTCGGGGGGAGATGCTTATGATCTATTTATATCAAAAAGATATTTGAATACATTAGTTCAGATATGCTTCAGGATAACAAAATTGCATATTTTGAAGCAGTGATAAAAAAATAGAAGCTGTTCTAACAAATATTTCAGGCGCCTCTAACTGACATAAAAACCAATGTATTCTGTGCCTGTTGCCTCACCTTGGCGCCAACACCACACAGCTTCATCAGTTCTCTCTTCGTATCCTCGTAAGGCATGTTCCTCAGGGAGTAGAGCCAGTCCTTTGTATGGTTGTCACATATGTACTTGGCTGTCACGTTGATGTACTTAGCCCTGTACCCAAACCCGAGCTCCCGCAACCTTGCTTCCACCCCAGGAGCCGCAAGTACTGAGACTTGTGGGAAGGTGTGGTACAATTTCCCATCAACCTCCATAATCTTATCGCCATAATGATCACACAGTTTCTCGACCATCGAGCTGATCCGGCTGATATGGTTGTTGGAGGAACAGATAAAGGAGAACAAATTTTCTACTGGATCTTGACGTAACATTCGGATTCCTTGAAAAGAGGATGATATTTTTTTGAAATTTTGATCAGCTGCCGACCAAGATTTGTAAAGTTTTCCAAGGTTGACATTCAGCTGAAAATAATCACGGAGAACACTTTCATTAACATCCTTTTCAGAGCTGAAGAGTGGTTCCTCCTTTAGTTCCAACTTCTTGTTTCTAATTACATTTACGTTAGTGTCACCATCCCCCATTTCACTGCTTCCAACAGGACACTCCATTTTGATTTTATGCTCATCTGATTTTACAGCCTGGTGGATGCTCTGTTTAGGTTCAGATTTTATCTGTGTTAGAAGACTTTGGTCAGATTTACATGGATCAGGTGCCCCTTGTCCTGGGAACACCTGGTAATAAACGTGTGATGCGTCCTGCTTCAGTCTCCATACTTGGTGTCCAATCACACCTGTCCACACACCTGGAGTCACCTCCTTCCACCTGCAACAATCAGAAAGCTATACAGTGAGTGAGTGAATCAGGTGAGCTAAATGTAGACATGGTTTTTCCACAAGTACTTGTCATTGAAAGCTACCAGCATACTGGCCCAATGACGAGAGCCTAATCGGGTTATAGCTAAATCGGCACCTCTGCAACATTGCACCAAGCGAAAACGCCCCAATTTGGGATTATCAAAATAAGGTGCCTTTTTCACTTGACCTTCAGTAGCCAGGTTCGCAAGATGAAATTGGTGACAGTTTGCTGAGGTAGCGTTTTAACTAGTTTGTCTCACAATCCTTGAATCATAATATTTTCCCTCCCACCCAGCCCTTTATACTGTAATCCTATAGCCCTAAATGAAGCCAGTCTAGATTGTCCACAAGTTCAGAATTTTCCATCTTACTGGGGAGCCTTTTCAATTGTAATGTCGTTGCTTGTTTCCATCAATATTATATATTATTAGACACTGCGTCAACCGTTTAGCCCGAATTGTCTAAGCTGAAGGGATCTCATCATGATGAACATGGTCGATGGTAGTATCATACCAGGCTTATTCCGATGAGACAGTTACACTAAAAGGAAGATCTGGGGCATTTACTTGACTAGAAAACCTTTTATTAACTAACCAACCTGAAGGACTGACCACACTTTAAAGTGTGGTCAAGGCGAAGTTCCGACAAAGCACATGGGATAATCTTCCATGCACTCGCCATTTTGTTTACATTATTACTTCCCTTTGAGATTTCCGCTTCCGCTGTCAATGGCAACGTTTACAAAATGGCGTCTCTCTAAATGGATACCATGATCACACAGTACGTAAAATATTTGTTGTTACTTGATATTGCTATCATGTCATTGTTTTATTTTAACATGTGCGGCAACTACCATTTAGCACAATGGAATTCTGTTGAATTATGCCTTTGTAAGTTAAGTCATTTGAAATTTTGCCAAGGATATATCTAATAAATAAAAATGGACTAAAGCCGTAAAGCCTAAAGGTTCAGTACTAGGCTAGTACTACCAGGGATAATTCTAGGGTGGGGCCTTGTGCTTAAGCCTCTAAATTTGAAAAAGGCCCACGATTTCAAATACAACGGGGCATGTTAACATTGTGATGTATGGGCAAGTGTGGGTGTACCTCTTGAATATTTAAAAATTTCACATAAAGAGACCATGTCAGAAAATTCATAGAGTGAACCCTCCAGTACCCATATACCCATAATAGGCCTGGGCCCACTTGCACAAAGCGATCTTAGCGCTAAGATGATCGTAACTCCCATACTTTAACATAGGCTTACAATAGTCGTAGTGCTAAGATCGCTTTGTGCAAGTGGGCCCAGGACATAATGCTTTGCTGTTAGTATGGGAATAAAAACTTGAATGTGGCTTGTTTAGATGAATGGGATAAAACAAACTATCCAAATTATTGTTCAATATTTTTAGATGATATTTCTAAATGGAACAGATATTTTCCAGGAAATAGTGATTATGAAATGAAAGCATGAATGTAATTGGCTTGACATGAGTGTTTACAAACGTGGAGCCTTATTGATTCCGTGGCAAGAATGCAGTATACCAGACACTTTCCGCCATTTTGGTAAGGGATGTGCACAAGCTCATTCCTAAGTAACGGTTTCTAAGTTTTTCATATGCCATTTTTGTCTCCTCGCGAAAATAACAGGGGGTAACAAATGTTATTAAATGCTTTCGTAAGTAAATGAAATTTTATTTACCAAAGTAGATACAAAACACAACGTGTGCGGCTTTATTATCAGCATAAAAAAAACATGGCGGATAGGTGTCCAGTATAATGCATGTTTACGAAAATATGTCTCCAGGGTATATAATATCTACTAAAAGCTTTGCATACTATGTATGCACCAGCAAGAACCAATTCCTACTGTATCATCACTAAACCACCTTGACTTGATGTGTACTTATCCATTCCCATAAATTTGAATCAACAACTTGCAGTTATATCAGGTAGGCCACACTTGATTTGAGAATCCTTGTTAAATCTATTAGCATGATAAGTAGAATCTATAAATTCAGATTTGAAAGTACTTCAAACTCATGTTTGAAACAAACAACTATCTCACTCATTGTTAAAGTTTAACCATATAATATTATTTGCATCCTAAAGAGACAAATGGGAACTAATGGCACCCCATTCATCTGCTATGTGTAACATGTAACAATTGTTATATTTGGGTTGACGCTTTCTTAGTAAAAGTACTAGAATCTGCATGTACTTTAGTTTACTAAGAAAGTGTTATCCCAAATATAACATTTGTTACATTTGACCACTTTCTAAATGGCATTGTGTGTTCGATGTGTACCGGTAACATGATTCATTAGATTGCGTTATTCGTTATCATAACAGAAATAACAGTCGTTAGCCCAGTGAGTGAGTGAGTTTGTTTCTACTTCGCTTTTAGCAATATTCCAGCAATATCACGGCGGGGGGACACCAGAAATGGGCTTCACACATTGTACCCATGTTGGGAATCGAACCCAGATCTTCGGCGTGACAAGTGAACGCTTTAACCACTAGGCTACCCGACCGCCCCTCATTAGCCAAGCTAAACTACACATTTTTTCTGTGGCACATTATATGCAATCTTCTTTTCTGAGCCAACGTAATCACACTTTACCAGCATTGTTGATGATATTTGATAGAATAGTAAAAATATCTTGATGAACAGAAAGAGTTAAATTCATGAACTCCGATTTATTTCGATCCTGTCTGTCTGTGTCTGGTAAATATTTTCAGCTGTAAACAATAACCGTATTGAAGTAAAATGGTATATTTACAATTATATACTGAAGTAAAGTGTAGACATGGCGACCTTGACCAGGTACCAATCCCTGATGTTCAATATAGGATATATTGTAGAGCCAACGGCGTTTCCATATCCAGTTGCCCATTTGAGCCATTTCATTCACTGTAACAGTGTTGTCATGGAAACATCCTGGATGTTTGTGACTACTAGGTCTGTCCTTATAAGCCGATAGCAGTATACGAAATGTTTGTCTTGTGATACGTATGTTCATGTTATGTTAAGAATGCCTCTGTGTATAGAGCGTCTGCTGGGAGAGAGGAAGGTCTGAGTTTCCATACCTGACTGCGTCAAACTAGGAGACGTTACAAGGTTTTCATTATTAACAGGACCCGTGAAGATTCCGGGGTAGAATAGGTCTTCAGCAACCCATGCTTGCCGTAAAAGGCGACTATGCTTGTCGAAAGAAGTGACTAACGGGATCAGGTGGTCAGGCTCGCTGACTTGGTTGAAGCATATCATCAATCCCAGACCGCCATCATAAAGCTGGAATATTGCTGAGTGCGGCATAAAACAACAAACAAACAAACAAACATTATTAACTGTCCTTAGTACGATATATCATCATAAAGGAGATAAAACAAGGACTTTTCAGCTCGGAGTCAGGATACTAAATAAGTGCAATACTCTTAATTATCATCTTAACCCCCATTTCACCTCACCACTGAATGTTCTATTCAGACAACACCAATACATAATCAGCCTCTGACAAATGCATAGTCATTATATGTACCTGTTTAACTTTTTAAACCATCTATCATACAGATAATTAAATTGATTTGGGACATAAGTTTTTATGGAGAATGAAGCCTATTGTTCAGTTTAAGATTGCAGTAAAGTGCAGTCAAGTGTTCCATACTTACGGACAGCTAGACAAAGCCATTAACAATAGTCAGCTATTTCTGTCAGACTGTTAACTTAGACAAGAACTGATGCAGGTTGTGTCCTATCTCTGGTCCATTGAACAAGTATGTTTCATCTGAACATGTTGGGGCACAGGTGGACCAGTCGTCTAAGGTTCCAAAATTCACACTACAGTGTTATGTCCCTTTGGTGTACCAGGAACCTGTGATCATGGGTTTGAATCCTTGGTTCAGTGTTGTTATATTTTTCAGTTTGTCTACATTTGTCTTTGACCTTTATAACTTTGGACTTTCCTCTTGTATCAACTTGACGTGCGATGATATAACTGGAATATTTTTCAAAGTGGCGTAAAACTAAACTCTCTCACACACCTGTATGTGCTGAATTGCTGGTAGTAAGAGCCGACTAAATTCATGATTGGTCAGGCTATGACTTGGTTGATTGTGTGTCATTGTGCCCCGACTGCTCGGGACGTTACTCATAACATCAACCACTGGTTTGTCTGGCCCAGACTGGATTATGTACAGGCTGCCTTGACAGTGTTGGAATATAGCCGACTGCAGTGTAAAACAACAAATTTGATAATTTCACAAATTGTCAAATGTTTATGAAGTGAGCAAATGCTGAATTATATGAATGGTAACAGCTATTGTTATAAATATTAATGACACATTAGTAGTTGTAAAACTGTACTTTGAGAGATAAGTAATCAATGGGTAGACTCTGTTCCCAACAACCCAGGGTTGTACCCAATCACTCAAGTACCAGCACTGAGTGTAGACTGTGGCAGTACAATAAGTACACAGGCTTCAGATTACAAGCTTTGCTTTTCTATATGCAAAACACTTTCTCCTGTTTACACGAGCATTTAGATCAGTTCTCTGTGAGGTGGAGACTATATGTTGTGTTAATGTGTATGGTAAATAATCAGTGTACACTGTTATTGGCTTATGTACTTCTTGGACGATTACCAAGTCAAGTCTAGAAGTGTTTCCTGAGCAGCCATATGTTGACAGGTTTGTTCTGACATGCTGGTAGTCATGGGGGACAGATTACTAAGTCGAGTCTGGAGGTATTTACTGAGTGGCTATTTGTTCCTGTGTGTTGTGATGTGCTTGTAACTTGATGTCCAGTCATGGTTGACAGATTTGTAGGTCACGTCTGGAGGTATTATTGAACGGCTAAATGTTCCTGTGTGTTTTGATGTTCTTGTAGCTTGATGGGCAGTCATGGTTGACAGATTACTGTCAAAACTGGAGGTATTTACCGAGAGGTATATGTTCGTAAATATGACTTTATTTTATTTACAACAATGAAATATTTAGGTTTGGGACTTAAAACTATGTAAGATCAGGTAACAGTAACCAAGTAGAAATTTTCTTGGTTGCATATATCACAACTGAAGGGACTCAAGATAGCTTAAATTAGCCACGATTTAGAGACAAATGGAGTTCATGAATCAAGCCAATTGTAAGAGGCAGATCCAGGATGCTTTAAGGGTTAGGGGAGGACTTCAAATCAGAAACAAGGATGGCGGGGAATACTGATGGCCCACCCCTGATAAGCCACTTAAAATACAGGGACACAAGTGGACCAATCATCTAAGGCGTTGCAATTCGCTTTGCAGAGTTGCATCCCTTGGGCATGCCAGTAACCTAATATTTTTGTTTCGAGTCCTGGTTCGTCCCGATTATGTTTCTAGATTCAGCAGCACCATGATATAACTGACATACTCTTCAAAGTTTTGTTAAATCCAACTCATTCACACACTCTCACTATTACTCTCAAACATATTGGAAACTGAAATTTGAACAAGAAAAATGTATGCGATTCATTTATTAATTTTGAAGGCAAAAGTGTTTAAACCTCATTCATCAAAAGAATCTTTATATTTTTCAGATAAAAAAGAAACCAGTGCGATTCAGCCTCTCTTGGGAGGGTTAGACCAACTGTGTGTCTGGAAGCTATGTGATAACAGCTCCCGGGCAATCTCGGACTGAAGTGACGTCATTATGGTCAGCATACCGGATTGGGCCAGGTTCTCGCGCCTGCATGACCTTAAGTCCAACAAGAATGACCCCAACTCCCATCTGCGGAAGTACTACAAACAGCGAGAGGAGGAGGCGGTCCGGCAGGCAGAGCAACAGGGATACTTCATTGTGCCCGAGGAGAAGTTCATTCTGGAACACTGCAGGGCCGCGAACAGGAAGGCCAAGAGGCTGAGTCAGCTGTTTTTAGTACAGTTGAATGGACTGCATTTGCGGAAAGTTGGTGAAATAAGCATGTGTTTGAATCTCCAGATATGTAACCTTAGCAACAACTTCCTGCCCAAGATAGAGCCCCTAGCAGGATGTCGTCATCTTGTCAAGCTAGATCTCCATAGCAACCAGGTAGGGACATTTTTAAAAATTTATTTTAAAGTTGTATACTTGTTATTAGACATAAATTTTAACTCTCTGTGTTCCATTCTATTCCATTCATTATATGCTGAGTTTTATATATTCAATCTATAAAAAACATCAACAACAAAATTTGACATTTGACAAGGTCTGAAATTCTGTTTCATCATTAAACATGTTTATGTTTTTTGTTTATTTTATGACATTACCCATGACATTAAAGGATTCAAGTTTTGACCTTTCTAGCTCACCTGACTGAAAGTCAAGTAAGCTCATGTCATGATCTGTTTGTCCGTCATCTATCGTGTCGAGTTGGCCATCATCATCATCTTCTCCTCAGAAACCACTGGACCCATGAATCTTTAAAACTTTACTTACTGTTTCCCACCAATGGTGACACCCGGATTTGTTCAAGATGTTCCAATCTGATTTACAATATGGCCGCATCGACAGCCATTTCAAAAGTTATTTATAGCCATTATTGAAATTTGGTACATGTGTAGTTAGTACTGAGATTCAACATACAGTCAAACCTTGTTATTTTGAACCCCGTTATCTTGAATGTACCGATATCTCGAACCTATTCTCCGGTCCGACCGCCTTACTATAATAATTACAGATAATTTGCAAGTGTTTCTGTGGCATTTGATTGGTTAACCAAGCGAAAAAGGTCGGGGCTTGTGTTGAATTATTGCATTGAACAATGTCACCGATTTCATATTGGTGTCTTATAGTTTTGGTGTGTTAATGAATAGATATAGCAGTCTTTGAAGATATTATTGTTGGCATATATTTATTTGTATACTTATTTGACTTCAAAATGTTTTTGCCTTTATGGACGTATAAACGTGGGCACATTTTGCATGATTTCACTACACTGATTTACTAAGTACGCACATCGTTTTTCCCACTTATACATCAATAAACGTAAATACATTGAAGTCATTTCTTAAATACTATTTACATCACAATTCAGATCCTAAAACATTTTAATTTTGATTTTGATTTTGATTTTGATTTTGATTTTGATTTTGATTTTGATTTTCATTAAATGAATTATATTAACTATTTCAGTTGTCTTCTATCCCGGGAATGGCATTCTGGTCTGGGTTTCGCAGACTGAAATTTCTGCATCTGCATGACAATCCATTAGGCAAGTTTGAAACAATTCACAGCCTGGGGACCTGTCCTCGTCTGATTGGCTTGACCCTGTATGACACTCCTCTCTGTCTCCGCAAGAACTACCGGCATCACGTGGTCAACTCTGTGTGGACTCTGCGAGTCCTTGACCACCATGTTGTGTCTGATGAGGAGATCATTGAGGATTCCAACTTCGGGGGGATGTTTGCCACGATGAACCCTTCCCTGTACATTGAGATGTGTCTCCCTGGAATGGAGGTAAGACTTATCACGTGAATCACAAGCAGAGAAACCCAGACCTCCAGATAATGATTTAGCCATTGAGCATTTTACTCACACGGTATCATTCACTCAATCTCATTAATATCAAATCTTAGATCTCGCTACCTCTAAACAAAGATCTGAGGACATCCAATTACGGGTCACGTCAGAATGACCTAGCGAGTACTTTGATTGACCAATGGAATGACTGACAAGAAGTCGACATTAGCCAATCAGAAGGCAGCTTATTCATGCTTTACGGCACTAATTTCAAATTGGGGACTACGCTTCGAAACATATTTTGACAAAAATTTGAAACCTGAACAAAAGAAAATTCTGGAATGGCTAATAGATGGTCTAGATTGTATGGATTCAGTTGTTAACCCTGTAACTTTTCGAAATACCCTGTGTAAAAAGTTTTCGAGGATGCATGATTAGAAATCACATTCTGACTGTCACTTTCATGATCTGGTAAGCGACGCTCTGATTGGTCAGATGAAAGGTCGTTCTGACGTGACCCCTAATGGGATGTCCTCAGATCTTTGTTTAGCGACAGCGAGAACTACGATCTGATTTTAATGAGATTGTCATTCACTTTGGGTATTGATAGTTTTCTTTTGATATTAATATTTTTTTCCTCCTGTCAGTCCAGTCTATTGTTGGCCATATGCATTCTACGGAGGTACGTAGTGTGTACAAAACCTGTGAAGTATTGAAGATTCAGTTATATTGAGTAAGATGCACATTGGCTTTACCCTGTATCAAATGTTGTTTGGTTGTTGTTTTCTGTTTATACATGTAATCAAATGTTAACAGTATCAAATGTTAACATCAAATATATAAGACGCTCTCAATTTTTAGCCATATAGCATTGAGCCATACACTTAATGTTTTTCATGCTAGAATACCATTAACTTATTAATTACCTATCTGCATTCTTACTATATCTATGTTATGCAATAATACTGCAACAATTTTGCATTAAACCAAGATTAGTCACATGGCTTAGTACAAAAAACATCTCAGTTTTATGAATCTAACCTTTTCACAAAGGGGAGTCACTATTTATTAGGCCCGTGAAGATCCGGGGTAGAATAGGTCTTCAGCAACACATGCTTGCTGTAAAAGGCGACTAGGCTTGTCGTGAAGGGCGACTAACGTGATCGGGTGGTCAGACTCGCTGACTTGGTTGATGCATGTCATCCATCCCAATTGCGTGGATCGATGCTCATGATATTAATCACTGGATTTTCTGGTCCAGACTCGAATATTGCTAAGTGCGGCGTTAAACAACAAACAAACAAACACTATTTATTATGATATGCAATAATGCTGCAACAATTTCTCATTAAACCAAGATTAGTCAGGTTTAGTACAAAACACATCTCAGTTTTATGAATCGGTTAAGTGCGATGTAATAACTTACCTTTTCACAAAGGGATGTCATTATTTATTATGAACATGAATACCATCATAATTTGAAAAGAGTTGTGCTTTACTGTTCAGAATGTGAGCCTTTATATACAGCAAAACCCAGTAATTTAAGATGTACTCTTCCCAGTGAAATAATCTGGATTTTCAAATTTCCAGATTATCCAACATTGTAACAGGTAATATCCCGTGTATATGTGTACGCATCCAATCAGTTGCTATCCGGAATGCAGGATTCCCGTACTAACATGTTCAGGACTATAAGGGTTTCAGTGTTTAGTGACATTTTATAGTTTTTGATCACAAAGTTACAGTGTAATATTTTACTGCCACTTCGGCAATACCTACCATGTTTCCCATTCCATGTTCTGTTACTTTAGGCTTAAAAAATGATAGTGTTGGTTCTCAGGCACTGCCCAGATCATCATAAAGTCTGCCGCACGTTTTCTTTTTATTTCAATTTTTTTTTTAAATTTAAGATCCTTATACAATGAGATCCAATACGTCACACAGTTATTTCCTTTTACATGCATTCTGCTTTACTGCGCATCTCGTGTTATGGTCATGGCGGCAATAGGAGTATAGGGAGGCCCTCTCCCAGTTTGATGGTACACAACAGCTGTTTATTTGGGAACATACTAGTTTGAACAAGCTAAAAAAAAACAACAACTGCCCGCCAGCACTCTATTTTCAAAAGTCATTGCCTGAGAACCAATTTTTTATTTTTTTAAACCTTTGCGTTATCCCCTTTAACTTGACTTTGTATCGTCCTTGGCAACTTCATGAAGGCAGGCACACTTGCTCTGGAGTATTTAAAATGCTCCTGAGTTTACCATGACATGTAATTTATGTACTGTAACTCAGTTTGCACTGGTGATGTTGCAGGACAACACGTACGAGGATGAAGTGTGGTTGCTGCAGCATATAGAGGCTCGCATCAACATCATCCAGGCCCACCGCTCCCCCGTCCTCATCATACAGAGATATTACCGCGGATACATCTCTCGGAAAAGGTGACCTTTGTTATTTCTGACTGACCAGGTCATTGTTGACCATTGTTCCAGGTCCTTCATGACACTGAGGGAAGTGGTAAAAAAAGTATACACTGTTAACAAATAAAAGTCTTTAAAGTCGCCCATTTGTGAGAAACCCAAATTAATCAGTTGATAAAAAGTAAATCTCTTTATTTTACAATATGTAGAGACTCCATCAGGTACACTCAGTAACAAAAGGTGGACTTATTATATTGTAATATATTAAAATCACAAACTGTGTGGTCTGAAAAGCCAGCAAATAACAATTGTATTATCAAATTATATTGTATTATCAAAACGTATTTTAGTCCTAAATTTAATTAAGTAATAAAATCTTCTTAGAATTCAGTATGAGGAGGGCTGAAAGATTTTTCACATTCATGCCTTTGAACTAACATACAACTGTTTGGTGCTGTTGATTTCTTCCAAGTTTTTCTAGAAATGATACTGATTTAAATCAAATCCCTCTTTGTGACATCTATTTGATGCTTGTGCAGAGTTGTTTCCCTTAGCTACAAGGATGTGCTGATCATGGGTTCTGATCCCTGAGTCACCATAGTTATGACCATTGATCTGTCAGCACCTTACAAGTGCTTGTGGTTTCGTGAAAGTGCTAATGTTAATGACACTTGGTATGTGTAAACATTTCTGCCATATTCATTGGCCAAGAAACGCAAATTGACTCCAAGTCAGATCTGATAATTTATGGTATTGACTTGAGTTGCTAACAAAGGAAAAGGACTTACCCAGAAGTGGTATTCCCCAAAACCAAAGCCAATCAGATGTTTCTGTTTGTTGGAACCCTCTGACTTTAGTGTAGCTAACATAGTTTCATATGTTGAATCTGCTCGTCTCTTTATTATATACTAAGACAATTATAGACTTTATATGAGCGCAATACCTATTTTCAAGAAGCCGAAAAAAGTATTGACCAAGGACTATTTTCGGGTCTATAAAAGCAGGTATTGACCTCATATAAAGTCTATAAATGTATAATGATACTTGAGCTGATGTAATTGATATATAGCTGGAATAATACTGATATCAGCTTTAACCAACATTTGCTCACTCACTCACTCACTCACTCACTCACTCACTCACTCACTCACTCACTCACTCACTCACTCACTCACTCACTCACTCACTCACTCACTCACTCACTCACTCACTCACACACACTTCATTTGAAACCCCGATCATATCTCCTTCAGACACAGTCTCGGTATTCAGCGCCACATCAAGAAGGGCATGCAAGCCACATCCTCCGAACTCCTCCCACCGCCACCATCTACACCCATGAACATTGCTGCACAGAGTTTGCAGGACCTGGGGCCTGATGGGATATCTATGGACTATGATACCTACATGAAGCATCGCCGACCGGGATCCCACATCCCCAGCGACGCCACGGTGACCTCGGTCCACCACCAGTCTCTTGTTGGGGTAAGTCTTTCATACATTTCAACATCATGTTGTTGTCTTGGGACATTGCTAGACCCCTATGAGATAATGTACTGGATATCTTAAAATGACAATGATTTTGTGAACTGCCTTAGAAGATATCCAAATTCTACTACAGATACCAGCCTCTTGACATTAATACTAGTATTATAATAATGCAGTTCAAATGGTCATGATACAGTGGGCCCAGGTGGCCCAGTTGTCTAAGGCGCTGCAATTCGCAGTGCAGAGTTGCGTCCCTTGGGCATGACAGAAACCTATGATGGTGGGTTCGAATCCTGGGTCGTCCAGATTATGTTTGTAGGTTTGTCAGCATCATACCTCTGCTTGTTGGTTTCACCAAACTTGTAAACTTGTGAGACCTTCATCACTTCGGGCTTTCCTCCATTAAGCTTACACGCTGTGATATAACTGGAATACTGTTGAAAGCGGTGTTGATCCTAACTCACTCACTAGCTCACTTATAATACAGCAAGTCACTTTTAAAACTATGGAAATTTTCCAAATATCAAATATTAGTCAGTTCAGCATGACCCTCAAACAGACATACAGAATCATCACTAATTTGTTGTTCCAAGCCATGCACTTTATCACACAACATCCTACATGTTGCTGAAGTTGAAAATAATTGGTCGCTATAACAGTGTTAGAATACTTGCAGAGTCTTGATGACCAAGGGGAGACGTCAGCAGCTGGGCCAGGGAACACAGACTCTCCTCGCAAAAAGACAAACCTTGTCATAAATCTTGCCAAACTCCAGAACAGCACATTCCAGAGTCTACAGGAGGATGCAGTTGCCATAGAAACCATCTTCTCAATGGATGCCCATGAGAGGAGTACTTTGACAGATTCTGTCCGCAGACCAAGGAGGAAGAAGAAACGAGACGAAGGCGCCAACAGACCCAGGAAGGTGAAAAGTGTCAAGCAGTTCTTTGGCCCAATGGTTGAGACAGTAGAAGAGGAGGATCAGGGAGAAGTGGGGGAGGATGACACGCCCATCACCCACTACCGTCTCCGTGGCAAGCGGCCCAACATCCACCTGGTGGACACAACTACTGAAATGATCCTGGAAAGGAAGGAAGCTGGGAGGCAGGTTCGGGAGGCGGAAGCTGAACATCACCGCAAGATCATGGATGCTCCTCTCCCCAGACTTGTGTTGCCCAAACACACCACAACAGATCAAAGAATATTTGCCCGGGTCCATGGCACCATGGGAATGTCCTGTCTGTTTGCTGTGCAGAAAGCGTACAAGGACCGTGAGAAGGCGGAAAAAGCTGCTGCAAAGATGGAGTACATCTTAAATATGCGCGAAGAACGAATGCGAGCAAGAGACCGGATAAATATGTATCATGAGGAAAAGAGGAATCAAGCATTAAAGAAGAGAGACCGAGACAGAGTACGGATGTTGGATTCTTTAGAACGGCACGAGCTACAGAGACTTAACTACCTTGACAGGCGCATGGAGGTCAAGAACAAGGCAAATGATGTTGCCAAGAGTCACAGGATCGACCAAAGTTTTGTGACAGAGTTCAACAACCAGCACACATCTGTTTCAAACGCCCTGCTGCGCCATGACAGACAGGCCAAGGTGGAGGACCTGGTTCAGTCCAAGAAAAGGTTCGTCCTTGACAAGAAGTGTGATGAGGGGGAGCAGCAGACCATGGTCCGGAAGTTCATGGAGCATCGGCAGCTGATGAGGCAGAGAGAGACTTCAACCACACGAGCTGCCCTCGGCACCAAGCTTCTCCAGGAGACCAACGAGAGGTTCATAGAAGCTCAGCAACGCGTGTCCCACTTGAAGACGAGGAGGGCCATAGTGCAAGCCTTCTATCCCCTGCCGCCCAACAATGTCCCGAGTTCTGCCGCTTCAGCTCCACCTGGGATCAGCAGATGGGAGGCGTCCGCTATGCTGTCGGCAGGAAGAATTGGTCGACATCATACCATGGTCCTATGATCAGTCTTCTTATGCTGGAGTTGATCTATCACCATTGCATGATGCGTCAGTTTAGCAAGTTATTCCTTGTCAGATGTGTGAGGATTTTTTTCAAGTGAGCTCTGCTGAATGTTTATGCTATGATTTTCAAACTGCTAAAATTTCATGATTGTGCCTGTTGTATACACTTCAGTATTGCCTACCTGTAAAATATCTTGCCTTAATTTTGAAGTATCAATGTTTAAAATTGAATATAACCCTTTCATGTCATTTATGTAGATAAGGTGTAATTTCTGAAAAGTTTCAAAATCTAATCTATTTTGAAATTGGTTCACGATGAGGACCAGCATATGCCACAGTTACCATGGTTACTGGTATATGTGGATGGACACTCTTACATCAGTAGGAGAACATATTATCCCATAATCTATGTTCCTCTTTGTGAGGAATAATTATAGATTTTGTTATAGTTTAATTACCTGTTGCAAGCTTTAGAAAGATTTTGTAAAACAAATGTGTAGTTTCGGTATGAAGTTTGATATGTTGTGTTCGTAGATAGTATGAATTTTGAATATAAAATGTCTATGTGTTTAATAAATACTTTTATCTTACTGTTAAGAAACCAGCAAGTTGTTTCATGATTAAGTATTTCTTCCTATGACTGTTAATATCATAATGTGTCTACATGATATCTACAATGCCAGGTGATCAGTCAAGGTTAATGAAGGTCAATACTGTTATCCGTGAAATGATAGGAAAAAGCGAGTCAAGGCTGGCAGACACTACAATGACAATAACGATTCTACTGAGACTGTACAGTTTCGTTGTCTCATCTATGAAGTTCACAAGGTTTCGGGCACCGTTGGGTTGTTTAGTGGTTAAAGCGTTCGCTTGTCACACCAAAGCCCCGAGTCGATTCTCGACGTGGGTTCAATGTGTGAAGCCCATTTCTGGGTGATAATGCTGGAATATTGTTAAGAGCGGCGTTAAACCACACTCTCACTCACTCACTCACTTACAAGCTTCACTGTGTCTTAAGTTCCCCCCAGTAGAACCTGACCAGTCTTGTCACATTGACTTCTGCAAACAAAGTCAAACAGAAATGCCAAAGTTTGAGTATTTCCAGCCTCATGGTACATAGTACTAAATGCAATGAGACTAACAGCAAGACCAGTTGTGACAGATGTGGAGTGCCGGAAACAATACAACAATATTTGTTATACTGTCCAACTGTCCTTCCATTTTGGGTAAGTTTTTTTAAAATGGATGAAAAGGAATGTAAATATATTGAAATTTACAGAGATACAGTATTATTTGGAGTGAAAAAAGAGTGTGTCCATGGACGAGACGATACACAAATACCTTCTACTCACGGCAAAAAGAAGTCAAGGACAGTAATGACAATGCAATTCTGTGAAATGTATAGGAAGATGACAGTATCTTGTGATTTGTGGTTAATATGCATCCCATGACTGCCAGTTTTTAATAATTTGAGCATTTGTTGGTGTTCAGTGTACCAATAGACTTGTTACAACATCTTTGTGTAGTATCTCTATAGAAAACTTGTTATAAGATGTGGGTAAATACAGCACCTGTATTGTTAAGTGGTTGCAGTATCTATCCTTACAAGTATTGTAGGACACTCCATAGACTTGTATCTATCCCGCCTCCATGTAGTCTTCCTTGCGTCCATGTAGTCTTCCCTGCATCCATGTAGTCTTCCCTGCGTCCAAGTAGTCTTCCCTGCGTCCATGTAGTCTTCCCCGCGTCCATGTAGTCTTCCCTGCGTCCATGTAGTCTTCCCTGCGTCCATGTAGTCTTCCCTGCATACATGTAGTCTTCCCTGCATACATGTAGTCTTTCCTGCGTCCATGTAGTCTTCCCTGCGTCCATGTAGTCTTCCCTGCGTCCATGTAGTCTTCCCCGCGTCCATGTAGTCTTCCCCGCGTCCATGTAGTCTTCCCCGCGTCCATGTAGTCTTCCCCGCGTCCATGTAGTCTTCCCTGCGTCCATGTAGTCTTCCCTGCGTCCATGTAGTCTTCCCCGCGTCCATGTAGTCTTCCCCGCGTCCATGTAGTCTTCCCTGCGTCCAAGTAGTCTTCCCTGCGTCCATGTAGTCTTCCCCGCGTCCATGTAGTCTTCCCTGCGTCCATGTAGTCTTCCCTGCGTCCATGTAGTCTTCCCTGCGTCCATGTAGTCTTCCCTGCGTCCATGTAGTCTTCCCCGCGTCCATGTAGTCTTTCCCGCGTCCATGTAGTCTTCCCTGCGTCCATGTAGTCTTTCCTGCGTCCATGTAGTCTTCCCTGCGTCCATGTAGTCTTCCCTGCATACATGTAGTCTTCCCTGCATACATGTAGTCTTTCCTGCGTCCATGTAGTCTTCCCTGCGTCCATGTAGTCTTCCCTGCGTCCATGTAGTCTTCCCCGCGTCCATGTAGTCTTCCCCGCGTCCATGTAGTCTTCCCCGCATCCATGTAGTCTTCCCTGCGTCCATGTAGTCTTCCCTGCTTCCATGTAGTCTTCCCTGCGTCCATGTAGTCTTCCCCGCGTCCATGTAGTCTTCCCCGCGTCCATGTAGTCTTCCCTGCGTCCAAGTAGTCTTCCCTGCGTCCATGTAGTCTTCCCCGCGTCCATGTAGTCTTCGCGTCCATGTAGTCTTCCCTGCGTCCATGTAGTCTTCCCTGCGTCCATGTAGTCTTCCCTGCGTCCATGTAGTCTTCCCCGCGTCCATGTAGTCTTTCCTGCGTCCATGTAGTCTTCCCTGCGTCCATGTAGTCTTCCCTGCGTCCATGTAGTCTTCCCTGCGTCCATGTAGTCTTCCCCGCGTCCATGTAGTCTTCCCCGCGTCCATGTAGTCTTCCCTGCGTCCATGTAGTCTTTCCTGCGTCCATGTAGTCTTCCCTGCATCCATGTAGTCTTCCCCGCGTCCATGTAGTCTTCCCCGCATCCATGTAGTCTTCCCCGCGTCCATGTAGTCTTCCCCGCATCCATGTAGTCTTCCCTGCGTCCATGTAGTCTTCCCTGCGTCCATGTAGTCTTCCCTGCGTCCATGTAGTCTTCCCCGCGTCCATGTAGTCTTCCCCGCGTCCATGTAGTCTTCCCTGCGTCCAAGTAGTCTTCCCTGCGTCCATGTAGTCTTCCCCGCGTCCATGTAGTCTTCGCGTCCATGTAGTCTTCCCTGCGTCCATGTAGTCTTCCCTGCGTCCATGTAGTCTTCCCCGCGTCCATGTAGTCTTTCCTGCGTCCATGTAGTCTTCCCTGCGTCCATGTAGTCTTCCCTGCGTCCATGTAGTCTTCCCTGCGTCCATGTAGTCTTCCCCGCGTCCATGTAGTCTTCCCCGCGTCCATGTAGTCTTCCCTGCGTCCATGTAGTCTTTCCTGCGTCCATGTAGTCTTCCCTGCATCCATGTAGTCTTCCCCGCGTCCATGTAGTCTTCCCTGCGTCCATGTAGTCTTCCCTGCGTCCATGTAGTCTTCCCCGCGTCCATGTAGTCTTCCCTGCGTCCATGTAGTCTTCCCCGCGTCCATGTAGTCTTCCCCGCGTCCATGTAGTCTTCCCTGCGTCCATGTAGTCTTCCCTGCGTCCCCCGCGTCCATGTAGTCTTCCCTGCGTCCATGTAGTCTTCCCCGCGTCCATGTAGTCTTCCCTGGGTCCATGTAGTCTTTCCTGCGTCCATGTAGTCTTCCCTGCGTCCATGTAGTCTTCCCTGCGTCCATGTAGTCTTCCCTGCTATTTCTTCTTTCAAGGGATCCACAAAGTATTCCAGTTTGATATTTTGAACTGATTGGCTTGTCTGTTGTTGTGTAGTTCCCCAATTCTGTTGCCATGTTGTTCCCCGATTCTATTGCTGAATTCAGTACAGTTCCACCAAGCTCAGTACCAGAGCTCGGAGATAATAAGCATCCAAACATACCACCAAATGGTCCTTGGACACAAAACTGTGTGAGGAGTTAGCCTCTTTTTTCTTTGTAGTGGGAAAAAGTGTATCAATATGTTTGTCTTAGAAAAAATATATTTATCCTTTGAAAACTGGGCATTGATGTGACTGATGTAGGTCATATACCAGTTAACACAGTACCTGGAAACCAGGACAGTTTCTTACATACAAAGTTTCAGGACATACCACTAGTTAAGCTTCACTCAGTATCATCTTTCATAAGCCGAAGCTTACTTTTTGTCTCATATTTCGTTACTGTTTCAAGGACATGAAGCTACAGATGAGTTTTGACAACGTTTTTGCATTGCAGACATATTAATCTGTATGAAAGTATGCAATTTAATCTAGTTATAAAAAGTGTTCATTGTGTAGCTGAACTTGTTTGTAATCTATTTATTAATTTTATTCAAAATTTCGTTCAATATTGTAAATATATATTTGGTGAAACTGCAGGAACTGATAGGCAGATCGTACCAATTCACCTTTATTTACAGCAACCACAATCAGTTACTACTAATTACACCTTGAAATGAACCCTAGTTGTTAACAACAGACTTCCCTGCGACATCAAATGCAGAAACAACAGAGATTCACGGCCTTCACTTTCTCCAGTTGTTGGGAGTTTTCGGTGAGACCAAAAAATCGTCTTTTGACTCTTGTACCCAAACTGATTGCATGTTGTTCTCTTATAAACATTTCTTTTGTTATGGATGTTTTCATGTTAATCTGTGATACACATATTTTAATGTAACCTATTTTTGTATACGTTGTCACTCCAAAATAAAAATATAATAGATATATGTCAAAATCATATGGTGTGTTTGTTCTGAAATACTTGGCAGCGATTTCTGAAAACCTTGTTTATGACGTAAAATACAGAGATCTGGGGTGCCAATATACAAGTGAGGTGAGGTGAGGTGAAATGGGGCTTAACGTTGCGTCCAAGATTATTGCACTTATATAGCGATGTGCATGCACGTGTATGTTTTGCATGTGGCTGCTTGTACTAGTCCGGACTGATGCCATTTTATAGTGCTAGCACACTGAGCATGCTGAGATACCATGCCACAGTTTAACATGAATACCCCACTCAGACACAGTATACGGACTCAGAGCCGACCAGTCCTTGTTTAAGCCCCTTAATGCCAAGCGCCAGAACCTGGAAGCTTCGAAGGATATGGATTAGTTGTAGTTGTACTCCTTTGTTGTGTCATGTTTCACTATGTTCAATAACAAAATCTTTAGTTCATTCAGATGCATTTGTAAGAAACAGCCTTCTAAATTCACGCTAGTCTGTTAGCCCGAGACTACCAAATTGTGCTGAGGACAAGTAAAAATCAAGTGATGATAGTCCTCATTGACCAATTGCATTGGAGGGCTAAAATTCTGAACCTGTTCTCCATGCTTCAATTTTGCTATTTACAGTAGTAAACATGTTTCGTCATTCAAGAATGAGTGAGTGAGTGAGTTGGGTTTAACGCCACTTTTTACATTATTCCAGTTATATCACGGCGTGTCAGCTTAATGTGGGAGGAAAGCCCAAAGTGATGCAGGTCTCAGATGTTTACCACTTCGGTGAAACCCACAAGCAAGGGTATGGTGCTGACAAACCTAGAAACATAATTGGGGCAAACTGGGATTCGAACCCACAATCATAGGTTTCTGGCGTGCCCAAGGGACGCAACTCTGCACAGCAAATTGTGGCGCCTTAGACGACTGGGCTACCCGTGCCCCCTCATTCAAGAATGACTAGCTACAGACTCTGACCAGTGAAATATGGTTTCCACTAGACCTCTGGACCAGTCTTAATAGAAACAAATTTCTAAGACTGACGCAATAGTACCGGGTAGCTTGTTTCAACATAGGGAACAATTTTCCTGCAAACTATATCACCGTTTTCCACAAAACATTGACAAAGATCCTCTCTTGATACACAAGTTTAATCTGTGCACTGACAGTAAACTCTTATTACGGCACAATTGTACACACGACTATATGCTATTTATGTACAGGCTATTGCCAATGATGACAATGGTAACAAACTGAACAGACTGCAAACACATTTCCATATAGCATGAATTAAGTGCTGTTATAATAATGACATGATTTTTTTTGTACGAGGTCGTTTAGACTTGTTCAAAATGAAATATGAAACATTTCTCTCCATGAGTCCAGACCATTTTTGTTGGCCATTTTTATATGTTCACCTGTGTCCATTCTCGTCTTTCCCCAATTCATCATGTGTCCAATCAAGTCTTTCCCCAATTCATCCTGTGTCCATTCTCATCTTTTCCCAACCCATCTTGTGTCCAATCTTGTCTTTTCCCAACCCATCCTGTGTCCATTCTCGTCTTTCCCCAACCCATCCTGTGTCAATTCTCGTTTTTCCCCGATTCATCCTGTGTCCAATCTTGTCTTTCCCCAACCCATCCTGTTTCCAATCAAGTTTTTTCCCAACCAATCCTGTGTCCAATCTAGTCCTTCCCCAACCCATCCTGCCTCCGTTTCCTCTTGCCAATCAGTATCGCCTTTTTGAACAAACTACAGTAGTACTCCACTGATACTGGAGTGTCATCGTTACCCGGGACGGGATACGTGATGAGGCGGGGGTCACAGTTCGAGTCCACTATCCCCACAGTCGGGATCAGAAGCTTGGCACTGTCCGTAATTGCAGCATGAGGCAAAAATGCATTGTTCTGTGTATTGAGGAAGATGCAGAGATCGGGCAGCCGGGTGACCGTACCAAACTGGACGGCGGCGTTTGTGAATGTCCCTCCCTTCCAGAACCTACAGTGAGAATACTCCTTCGCTTCCACCGCCGTGCGCTCCACCCACGGCATCGTCTGTCTGTGGCGAGTCAGGAACAGGATGATGCCACCACGGTAGGCGATGTGGGCCGTGAAGTTGAGGGCATCTTGAAACAAGGTCAAGGTCTGGTCAAGGTCAAAGATGTCGACACCGAGGCGGTTGCCGAACAGGTAGGGTGCCATGTACGGATCTCTGAGCCCCTGCTTGTGTCCGAGATGTACTCGCGCCTTGAACATGTCACTCACTGTCACCAGCTCCCGCACACCAAAATAGTCGTGGTGTTGTAAACTCTTGGCTGCCACATCAACATTAACAACATCTTCAACAACATCCTCAGGGAGTTGAGATGCCTCAGCAGCTGCAGCTGTGAAATAAAAGAAATAATTAAACAAACTTATGACATAATAATGTATTTGATCCGATTCCCAATCCATGTCAATTCCCCCCTTTGTTTCATTGATTTATGTATGGATTGTAAAGAAAGGACTAATATACGGCAAATCATGAAATTAATGTGGAAAATGTCAGGGTCCTTTGCTTGCATAAATGAGTGACACAGTTTTATCTGGATATATTGGAGTTCACAGCACAAGGGTGGAAACATTGACATACATAACAACGCTGACAATAAACAATGTAATAGTGTCCTACATAAGACAGGGCTTCTCACCCAGTTCCCCATCTAGTGTGGTCAGTTTTTTTAAATAAGATGATCTAGCAGCTGTATGACAGTCACCAACCATGAATGATGGTGCCTTATCTCTTGTTAGCCTCGTCAGATAATCGTGTAATAACAAGCAAGACACTGCTCACCCACGTCGTGAACATGTCCAGTACAGCAACAGCAGTCGTCATGAATACATAAAACTGCACATTTACGTTCAAAGGACTGCACTAACACATGTAACAACACTTGAAACCTGTACAATCTTGGTCGTTGACCCCTATTTCAGTCAAACTGGTGTCACTCCATACTAAAATGCTGCGCAAAAGAAAGTACACACCCATGTTTGATGAAGTTGAAAATTGAAACACACAAAATAGTTATTCAATGGTGATGTATTTGATATTGGTATCATAGTTTATTACTTAAACTACACATATATATACCTCAGGTATCCAGGTACTAGTATCTGCTCAAATGCGTTTTTTATTTGTTCCCCGACCAGTGGATCCGTTTGCATTCCAGTTATCATTCCCAACTCCCTGGGGAGTATACAACCCAAGCTGACCAGAGGCGCTAGGTTTTTACATCCACCTCATATATCAGGTACCCATTCCCTGCTGGGTGAACAGAGGCACATTTGAACTAAGTCACTTGCCCAGGGTGACACCACACGTGTTTACACTTGTGTTTCGGGTGTATGTACGTATTCGTGTTTCCACCATCTGGTCATCTACCATCAGACGAGTGGGTTCTTTTGAGAGCACAGACTGCATGTACTGTACACTAGGGGTAGTGACAACACTGTAAAGACCTGTAAAATTTGTTGGTCCAAAGGCTGAATAACAACCCGGACACTAGCAGGATACGATCTCAGCACCTGGCACTTGCTAGCAGTGCGCTTTTGACCACTTGCCCACTCCGCCCAAAGTTGTGTTTTGGACCTGAAGTTAACAGTGTTTCAGTGACTAGTGATGTTTTGACAATGTTTGTAATTTCTTGGTTAAATCCAATTTTCAAGTGTATACTTTATTTTGCCCAGAATTCTAAGTCTACAGTCTTAGTGTTATGTTATCGTTTGCTGATTAGTGTTTATAGTTCAAAGGCAAGGCTACTCTCATTAATTTCATTTTGCTCCAGGGTTCAACACTAGCATTACTTTGGTGATGCAGTGGTTTCAGTATCTTGTACATGTCCAAAGTTAGCCTGGAGATTTCAGCTCCATTTTCTAAAATTTGTTCATTGAAGATGAGTTTATAACAAGCTCATACTATCTGATCAAAATCTTAAATACATTTAGCAGAACACAGTAAAGGTAGTATACTCAATTGTTTGTAAAACAGACTGTAACATGTTGTCACTACCTCCATCTTAAAGCTGTTGCCATGGCAACTGATGCTTACCTTTCTGTAATGTAGGCGATGTTCCGCTGGAATAACCTTTCAGGGAGTAGTTGTGTCCCCTTGCTATGAAGGCCGGACAGGAAACTGTGACCCCACCTGTAGAAATGAATAAATGAGTCACTATCACACAATCTAAATCAGGCTATCATAAACTACAAAATTGAAGATATGCACTCCCTTTTAGTATCCAACATCGCTGTTTCATAAGCTTCATCCAAAAGCATTCACACGCTCCATTGGTTTTTAAATTGAAAAATATCGTGGAAATGTTTCCCAAACCATTTACCTTAGAATACTGCCAAACCTTTCCTTTGGAAATGTATTTTTCATAAGAGTTGACAAGTCTACAAACACAATGGAGTCAAGTGTACTGGCTTGGCCACAGTTTTTCTCTCTAGGCTTGATAGTAAAAGTAGTGCAGAACATAGTCAAGTTTTGTGGCTAACATGAGGTTTGACATACATGGTGAAATTACTGCTGCCCCCTAGAGCACCAGATAAGCAGCGTATATGCATATGCATAAAATATGCACACTATGTCACCATAACCCAATTGACTGTGAGTTACTTACATAGAAATATGCCTGTAGTTTTTAATTTCATACTACTACAATGACTCTGCTTAATTACCAAATGCAGCCTTTTCAGCTTGCATACCTATATGTCTTTACAGATCTCTATTTATTGATCAAATAGCAGGGATACAGTCCTGAGATCAATATGTGTTCAAAAATGTGTATAGCTGTTTTCTCAAAGTCCTTACATCATTGTACATAAGTTAGCCCAGCCTCTTGTCACGCTTATTTGCGACAACCAATTAATCGACTGAAGTGGCTAGTGTCAGACATCGGGGGAGAATCCAGAGCCTTGTGCTCCATTAACTGAGTGAGTGAGTGAGTGAGTATGGATTTACACCACTTTCAGCAACATTCCTACAAGATCATGGCTGGGGACATCAGTACAATTGTACCCGTTTTTGGATGGAACCCGGGTCTTGGACGTGACGAGCGAAAACCACAAAGCTACCTGACTGTCCCTCTCTCTTCCCCCACCCCCACCCCCAGCCCCACCCACACCCCACCCGCCCCCTTGCCCTGTGCCATGGTGACAGGCTATAGAACATGCGAACCTGGGATTCGAACCCAACACCAGTGTATCCCGGCAGCAGAGAGACGCCTGACGCCACATTGCCACCCATGTTCTCAATCAGTTGAACTTGAACGAAAACCGAGGATCTAATATCATCTGATAATATTTCATGTCAACAGAAATAATTAGCTTTTCGGTTAGCATTCGGTTAGCAATGTGGATTTTTCGTCGCATGCAATAAAACAGATGTATATACTACCATTGTTCTTTAAAATACTACGGAATGATAAGAATCGGCATGCCAGAGCACGACTCTTGCTCAAGGGCGCAGACATCTTGATTCAAGGGGAGAGTACTCCTGCACGGGCAATTCGAAGATCCACAACAAAAATACTTAAGAGAAAGGGAATGCGTATTTGATATTATTCATCGAAGGACTGACCTTGATTTGTTATCAATATCAATATGAAGATATCTGACCAATATCTTACATTTCAAAATATCTTATATTTAGTTCGTGTCTATTGTCATACATTGGAAAATATCTTTTTTAATCATTGCATGCGAAAGGTAGATTTGACGGAGTTGGATTAAATGCTGCTTCAACAATATTCCACTTATATCACGACGTGTCAGCTTAATGTGGAAGGAAAGCCCGAAGTGATGCAGGTCTCAGACGTTTACTACTTTGTGAAACCCACGAGCACAGGTCTGGTGCTGACAAACCCCAAAACATAATCGGGGCGAACCGGGATTCGAACCCTAGATCACAGGTATATTGTGTGCCCATGGGACGCAAGTCTGCACAGCGAATTGCGGCGTCTTAGATGACTGGGCCACCCATACCCCCGGGTATATTTGAACATTAACTTATTCCTCATGCTTGGATGTATCATGTTAATCGACCAGCGGGGTATAATACCGTATTCGACGTAATAAGCGCCCCGCTCTAATAAGCGCCCACGGCGATAATTGCTAACATATCCAAATAAGCACCCCTTCCGATTGATCAATGTACACAAGACTTATTTATTCGCGTATAATATGCACTCGTGTGTTACATGCACCCTTAATTATGGGCAATTAAATTCTGGAAAAATGTATCTGTCGTACATAAACATTTCAGGCTGTCAGCATAAACCACGAAATTTATCTTTCAACTCTGTATTTTCCACCAAAATAATCTTCTAATAAGAGCCCCCTATTTCTAATTTTGAGAGCGCCCTGGGTGCTTATTACGTCGAATACGTAAGTCCTTTCCCAAACCGCCCTGCTTGCAAATAAGCCGTATCTACCAATGTAAGGACCCCGCACAGGCAAAAAGCCGAGGTATGACGGCAAATGTACATTCTACCATTTGGAAAAATACTCGATTCATGATCCCAGCGGAAGGTAATAATATAGAATATTATTTTTTCTCACTTTTCGTCGAAAGGTATTTTGACATTAATCAAATTATGAATTTGTATCCACGCTTTCAAATTAACAACTGATCAGTTTTCTTAGACCTAGATCTACATTGTTGCCTCGTTCAATGGATCAGCGTGCACTCGATTTTCATTCTCATCCGGGGAGTCTACAACCCAAGCTGTCCGTCAGGCGATATAAGGTTAACAGCTACACCCTACCGGGTATACATTCTCCGTGGGGTGAACAATTTTCGAACAAAGGAACTTCATGTGCTTCAGTGTGGGGCAGAACCGAAACTCTAGAAACACTCAGGAGTCAAGCTTCTGACCGCGGTCACCCATCCTACTCTCCGCGACCAACATTCACCTGATTTGTGACCTGTGCGCTGTACACAGGACCAGGGGTACAATTATAGATTACAAAATACAGAGTTGCTGAATTTGTATTTCTTCTTATCTCCAGTTCACATCAGACTTTATTGACACTGTATCTCACCCATTTACCTAATTACCAGCTGAGTCTGCTCATCGTGCCAATTTGCCAGGGAGGAGGGCGTGGTGATGTTGACGACCTTCACTACACAAGGCCACATTGAAGGGTTGAAGGAGGGGCCCACTATGCATCGGGAGGAGGGTGTGCGAGGTAGGGAGAAGGGGGGCCTTCAATATACAAAGCCACAATGAAGGGAGGTGAGAGTGAATAAAGTGCCATTTGCCCTGGCAGTTCGGGAAGGTGTGCGTGCGCGCGTGCGTTCGAGCGAGCTTATCCGAATGTAAACTTTGGTCGGGAGGTCCGGTGTCCCTAGTTGGTGAATATCCTATCATAACATCTCAACTAATTTAGCTAAAAAGCAGTTTGCATGCTAACTTCATAAGTCGTGACCTTGACCTTGAAATCCACGACAACATCTTTTTAAACATAAAACCTCATTCCATTGTAAAAAAAGGATCTAAAGAACATACTCTGAAATGATGATAATAATATGTCCAATGGAGAAGAGATTGGCGCGAATGCTGTATTTTTCACCCAACTGAACTGCGGTGGCGGCCATTTTGATTTTTTTTCAAAATGAAAAGATAAGTCTGTTGTACGTGTATCTAGGGACATGTACAAATGTTATGTGAAAATAGTGTTGACATGTTCAGAAGATTTGGAGAAGAATATGGATGATAAGATTCACTGCTAACGGACTGACAGACAACGGACGGTGACCCAAAACAAAAGCTCACGTTGACAGTGTCAAGGTGAGCTGACACAAAAGAAATAAGATTTATTAAGATGTTTATAATAGGACTTTGCGCTTCGATATTTATGAACTTAAGACCGGAGGTCTCACTAAATAATGCTTTGAACGTTGAACTTGAAATTTGAATTAAATATATCTGGAGCTAGCATACAGCCAAAGGCCCTTGCCAATGGATTTGGGTCACGTGAAGGAAGATTATATCCCATAATGTATCCCTGCTGTTCACTCCCAAATGTCCTACATCCCATTTGTCAGACGACCCAATCATCAGACAGACCAGTCAAGTGTGACCAGTGTAACTGGCTGGTCTGACGCACTATTAAAGGTTCCCTCCCATAACGTAGACCTCCAAAATGCAGACCTCCCAAAAAAGCAGTTAAAATTAGCTCACTAATTAATTGGGCCATGCTGGTCACACCTAATTAATGAATGGACTGGTCCACTCCCCTGCTATGAGGGATTATCAATATGTTGAGACAATGAGCAGTAGTGGACAACAACAACATTGTCTTAAAAAACTCCTCCTTTCTTTAACCTGCTACCTCCCGGTACATCACAAATCTTATTCAAACATTACCTTTAAACAAGTTGTGGGATTTGTGTAAGAATATACCAAATGAGCTCCTACCAACTGTGGGAAGAGTAAGCAACTCCAACTCGCTAAGGGATGCAGATTAACCAGATTAACCAGATATGATTTGATGATTAAAAGTGCATAATAAACCAATCCTATTAATTCCTCAAAATGTGTGTTTTCTGTTCTGTTCAACTTAAATAAAAGGTAAACAGGTAAATATTGCTTGAATGACCAACCTTGGCTCATCCTGGTATAATCTGTCTGATAATTGGGACGTCTGACAACTGGGAGGTTACAATCCCAACGAATACACCACGGGAATGTACACACTCTGCTTGTACACCTACATGTCCGTGTCGCGGGCACGTGGGACTTTTGTGGAAAGTGAAAATTATTTTTGGTTTTGTTTGTTTGCTATGTCTGTGGGTCCATAATTACATGGTTATTTTCAAGGGTAGGGGTGGGCGTGGGCGTGGGCGTGGGCGTGGGCGTGGGGTTAACTGTTTCTGTGTGTGTCCCCACACCGAATGGCGTGGACATTGCCGACTGTCGCGCAAAACAATGTCCATTCACATAAAGGGATAACATCGATTCTTGAACCGATTTATTAAATTAATAGATAAATTAATAAAAGTTGTCCCTGTGATGTAAGGCATAGCTAATTCGCTGAACTATGCTGGCACTCCATTGCAAAACGTTCCCGTTTACTTATTACTGAGCAGACCCTCGCCATTCTACACTGCGTTCCCTTGCAAAAATAACTCTCACAGTTGCAGGAATCTATGATCGTGGGTTCGCATCCGCCGCACTCAGCAAGATCCCAGCTTTAAACAATCGAGACTGGACGAGACATTCCAGTGATTGACATCATGAACATTGACCTACGCAAATGGGAAACGATGACATGATCAAGTCAGCGAGCGACCACCCGATCCCGTTTCTCGCCTCTTACGACAAGCATGGGTTGCTGACGACCAATTCTAACCCGGATCTTCGCTCCGGACGCTCCCTTACTGTACCACAGTGTACCCTGGCGAACCATTTGCAATCAGTGCACCACGTGGATCAAGCATGGAAACTACATCGTGTCAGAGTGTATGACACTATAGTGTATTCGTTGCAGTATCTTAAAGAAAACAAAATATATTCACCAAACACTTTCCCCGCAATCTCGCGATGGGTGCTACCAAAGCATGCCAAAGCATTGTCTGTTAGCAACTGTGCAGCTGTTAAGTGTGTCACAGCTAAGGCCTTATTTGTATTTGCTGCGTTACAGATCAGTCGACGAGAAAAAAAATCAGAATTTCGAGGGGTTTTTATACCACTGACTGTAAAGATAGCTTTGACAGTATTTTGTATTTTTTTCGTCCTACCGACCAAAACTTTAACTGTCAACAAAAAATTAAAAAAGAAGAAGAAAAGTCTTGCCTGACTGTTGCACGGCTGAACAGTGTTAGGGAAAGACCGTTGTAGGCTGTATAGCCAACGTATATTCCATGTGTTCCAAAGAACTGTTGGCTTTTGCATCGGGACCAATAGCATGGTACATCACGTGACAGACCAGGGCCCCGTTCCACAAAGCAGTCGTAGCGCTAAGACGATCGTAACTCCCATACTTTAACATAGACCTACGACTGTCGTAGCTCTACTGTAGCTTTGTGGAACGGGTCCCAGGTCAGACCGACACCGTGTTACAACGCCTGCCAGGACTGCTTCTTACGGCTACGTCATTTGCGGTAAAGGTCTACATTAGCAACAGGATTGCGACAGATCATGTCAACCCGTCTTCACGAGCCGCCAGACGGCCGGCCTGTCAGAGGCGTTGTGTTGACGCAACAGATCGTCCCTGAGACGTCAGCGGTGTCACGCATGCGCACACAGAGTACGACCAAACCCAACAATGGAGAACTGTTTGATATTTAGCAACAAGTCAATATTTATGCTGCATCGAGCTGCTTGTCCCCCGGGTTCGCTTTAAACATAAATTAGTTCAATGAATAAATAAAATCGTTGTTTATATAACAGAAGCTTGGAAACAGACACTCTCACTCAGTACAAGATTGGTTGGTTGGTTGTTTTACGCCGCACTCAGCAATATTCCAGCTATATGACGGCGGTCTGTAAATAATCGAGT